CCCCCCCCCCCCCACACACACACACACACCCATCCACCTCACCCCCTCCTTCCCTTCTACCTCACTGCCTTCCTTTGTACCTAATGCCCCACCCACATTTTTTTTTGTTTTGAGATGCATGGACCTAAGGATTGAATGCACAGCCAAAATTGTCATGGAATGATACTAATCATTTTTCATTGATCCCTTTGCTAGTCCTGGCCTTGCCATTTTCAGTCCTCCTTCTGCCCAAAGATTGCGTCTGCAGGCCAGCCGCATAAGTATGGCCGACTATGAGGCTCTTCATTATGATAAAGAAAAACTCAAGGCTGCATGTGAGTAAAATGGTTGGATGTAATGTAAATGTGAAACAGGACAATTCTTATAGTCCTCAATCCTGTCATTTAGCTCATGGGGTCACTGTGAATGGAAGTAAAACCTTAAACTTGTTGCTATGAAATTTATGGTTTTGCTAAAAAGTTTAAGAATTCAACATGACTGGTATTTGAACTTTTATATACTGATGTTTTTATGTGTTTATTGTTCCAGCCATTCCATTAGGAATAATTGTTGTAGAGAATGATTCAGATCTTGAAGTTGTTAGGAATCGAATTAATCATTTGCAAGAGGTATTTCTCATTCATTTTATAATCAAGTTTTTGAAAAATAACTGTGTTAGTAATTTCTTTCATTGATGTTATTTCAGTGTATTTAAAGTAGTCCATCTGGTTCTTGTAAATTAACAATAAGAGACAAGTTTCTGATAAACTTTGATTAATTTAAACAATATTTTTAAACGAAAATGAGAAACACATAGTAATGTCAATTTAACAGTGATGATTATTTGCCATTTTTTGAATAAGGATGATAAGTACATGCCATTTCAGGACAACCTTGGAGTGTCGAACTCTGCCATTACTCAGAAACTATCCCCAAACTGGTGCTTTCTAGATTGTAAGTAACCAAGCATTTGTATGCTTCACTTTTATTGAAACAGTTATAAATGATAAAATTAATTTATAGACTTTTTTTCTTTACGGTGCTTATACTAATAAGCTGAAATTATCTTTTTCAACCCAGCAACGACAGCAGAACGTTTCTTTCGAATTGATCGCTCGCAGGAACATTTGCATTACATCACGGACATTTCCTCGGAGGATCTGTACATCCTGGACCCTGATCTGCTTGTGCCTAGTGGCTTGAATCCACAGGACAGCCCTTGGCAGATGGTGGCAAGCAGAGAGAAAGGTTACGAAGCAGCAGTCACGGATGTCCCAGATGGTGCTGCAGAGGGCAAGTTAGACCATCTTAACCTTGTGTTCAGTATGCCAGTCACTCCTCCCAGGTCACCAGGGTAGGTATCTGCACTGAACAATTAGAGAACACGCATGGAACTGCTTTAAAAGGCAATTTTTTAATATACACATGTCTAAATGTATGGAATTATTTTGTGTACCTAGAAAGGGAAGGACAGAATTAGCTGACTGCTTTGCAGACACATAATTTGTAATTGATGATATGTGATACTTTCAGTCTCTTTGCCTGATATGTCTATTGTGCTTTTCAGTTAAAGATAATTTTTTCAAATAAATCCTTATGTGTTATTTAAGTAGAGAAAAGATTTTTTTCTTACATTGACAAGATAGATTCTTCCCATTACAAAGCAGTTGTACCTGGTCTTAACTAGCCTGACTAAATTAGCAGAAAAACAAGGGCTTAAAAGTTAGCTTTTAACTTTAAAAAAGTAGTTGTTTGATTTTCTGGGACTTGGGGGGGGGGGGGGTATTGAGAGAACAACATTCATGTGTATCATAGGTCACTACTTATTTCATTGATTAATTCTATCTGTATTGTCAAAATTCATTTAATGAATGACATTCTGAAACTGACAGTGTTTCTACACATCTCCAATTTTACAAAGACATCGATTCAGCACTTTTTGGACCATAAAAACACTTCTATGTTAGTTAGTAAAATGCCTGTGGCAAGAATACAGAGAAACCAGAATGTTTTTTTTTTTTTCATAGGATTTAGCATTATAGGCTTTTGTTTGTAAGCGATTTCAAATTGTCATATATGGTAATTTTAGTTATAATTCTGGTGGTGATTCTGTTGTATATGTGCTTTTTAAAATCTAGTCATGTTGTTTTTATTATAGGTTAAGTGCAAAGCTTATAAGAATTCATTGTTCATAGTAAGCCTAGTTGTAGAGTTTTTGTTTTTCTTTCATAAAGCTGTATGCTTGGACCAGAAAGCCGAGACAATTCCCTCCTGCCCCATTCCCCCACATCTAGTAACAGGTTGGAGTTTGATTTTTTTCATTATTGTGTGTGTTTTTTTCAAATGCCAATATAATGCATTTTGTGTGTTTTTAGTTTTAGAATATGCTTTGCGTTACTTACTTTGCAATTCCAATTACCAAGATAGAATAACTTATGTATAGTGTTAAATGGTTGGCATTTGCAGCCTGTTGCCTGTGTTATAAATCAGTTGACCTTTTGGTCTCTCATGATGAACACTCCACTCCATAAACTGCCATTAGGCATATCTTGTTTGAGTCTTTTTATTTTGCCCAGATGACAGGTTGGAACTGCAAAACCAGGCAAAGGGATATCATTCCAAATGAAAGAGCTTCAATTAATTGTGTGCAATACTGTGTTTGATGTCATTGTAGAAGTAAAGGCTACAACATGGAGAAAAAGACACTTATAAAACTTGCCTGCAGTTAAAATCTGAAGCTTATTGCTTATTTTAGACCTTTTCACATCAAACAGTACATTTTAGCACTACAGCTTTACCAATAGGCTTTGAGAGGTCCCAACATGTGATTATAATTTTTTTTTTTGAGTGCCAGTTTGCTTTTTGGTGACTGTCTTACATAGTAGCGAGGCTATTAAGTTGTCAATCTCTCTAAGTGTGCCAGTACAGCTGTATTGCTAAATTATACTGATCCACATGAAAAGATTTTAAGTAACAACATAAATTACTGTACCGCTTGAAATACATGTTAAATATAGTAATTAAGTAGCCAAACAGCTGCCATTGTCATCAGTCCCTTCTACAAGTTGTGAGACTGATAGTTAACAAATAATATTCCCACTACCATAATACAATTTATTACCAAAGGTGTGTTGATTTGATGATGTTAAAAATGTGCTGCCTTTTTTGTTGAAATAATGTGTTGTTTAGTGAAGTTATAGTGTAATGTCTTAAGCATGTAGATTTAGCTTGCTAGATGCATGCAGATCCAGAATTCTATAAAGAGTGGGGCACCCATGTTTGAAGCATTTGAAATGAAACTTAATGGGCCCTAGGTTGGGTCCCCTTTTTTGCCTAAATGAGGAAGGTCTCTGAGATAAAATGTTATGGGATGGAATTCAGGCATATGGTATACCAGATTTTCATTTTGGCAACATATCAACCTTAAAGCATTACCATGTTTATTGCTGTTCTTTGTAGTTTTTTATCTATTAAAGACATACAATTAGTATCAGATGTATATATAGCAATGAGCTGAGTATCCTCACAAAGGAGCTGAAAACTGATGAAGAATTGCATAGACTGTAAAAACAGGTTTATAGACAGTAGTTTTCTCAACTATTTTCCAAATGTTTGCCTAGATAATTGTGTCTAGGATTATGTAGAAAAATTAACCCAATTTGTATGTCTTTTTTAGTACTCATTGTAGGCACCCAATAGACTTGGTTTCACAAAACTTAATACATAGACTTTCTTTTCAATATGACTACATATACCTGTCTCACTTGCACATTCTCTGTTCAAAAACCAAGCTGAAATATTTAATCTAAATTATGTTCATAATATCACATCTGATGCAAATTTAAGTGATATTAAAAATCCTTGCTTAATTTACTCCATGCATTTGATATCTATCCTTCATTGTTTCTATCCACTGACAGTTTCAGTCATTGCCATGTTTGATCACAGTAATGGGTTGGGGGGGGGGGGGTGTCATTGGTGTCATTTTGGCCTGTGTGCCGTGTTGCTGATGTGTGCTGTGTCTATGTATTTTCAGTTTACTCTACAATCTAGATGTTTGTGCCTTGTGTAAGATCTCAGCAGGCGTAGTGCATGATGTAGTGGAGTCTGGCGCAGCAGCTGGAGCCTTAATAAGAAGGTTGGGAAATAGTGATAACAGTACTATCACTTTAAAAAAGGGAAATACAAAGATAAATTATTTGGGTGTAAGGGTCATGCATTGCTTAGCAATTTACAATAATTGTACATTTATCTACCTCACAGGATTTTTTAACTTGGCCTATACAGATCTTCTTGTAATTATAAAAGATATACGCTGTAAAAAAGGTGATAACTTGGGGGGGGGGGGGGTTGCTTTTGACCTTTTATTCTTGATGGCCATAAAATTAATTTTGTTGTGCTTTTGTTATTATTTCTGCTTTTTTGCTCTTCTTCATGCTATTGTTGGAAAATCTCATCTTTTGTTTGCAACTTAGTGTGGATCAGTTAAATTTACAATGTATACCCTTTAACCAGAGGCATATGTACATGTTATATGTATATGTAGCACATAATACTAATCACATACTAATTATCATTTTTATGAATGCATGTAATTTTCACTGCAATTCTAACCTAGAACAGAATTGAAAGCCTTGGCTTTAATGATGTGTTAATAGTGATGCATATTAGATTTCGTGAGTTGGTATTGTTCATTATCTTAAACATCATATATCCATGTGTTATATGTTTTGTAGAACAAAGGCATCCTAAGTTTTTGAATATGGGACAAAGATTCCTCTTTATTTATATGAAAAGCATCTTTCTAAATGAAAAAAAAGAAACAAATTCAGTGACTATCCTATTACTTATAATCATTTGTAAAATTTACAAATGAAGGTAATAAAGCTGAACAGATTTATTGCATGTCAGATTAGTCTTTTTCTCACATATAAAAGGTCAAACTTCAGGCACTGTTAATGCTTATTATTGCAATATTTGCATTTGTTACTTTTACAAGCACCAGACAACTCTTGTTTTGGACTATTTTAGGCATGCACATGTTGGAATTTAGATTGTCACCATACAATAATGCTTTTTTCATGGATGACCAAAAACAACCTTATTTTCTTAATCTTATCATTTTGTCATTAGTTACTTTGGAATGATGATTAATGCACATTTTTTGCTTTTTTAATGCTATTTATTACTTTGTGTTCAATAGGTCTTTCCCTACCACTCCCATAACTCCAGTTAGTAGTAATGAGTTATTCCTGAAAGAGTTTATGAGCAAGATACAGCAAAGACGACGGTAGTGATACATTGTACATGCATGACACAGCATGATGACTGCTGATGACATAGTTACTGTAACCTTAAGATGTTGTATTAATATTAAGGATACCCAATGTCATTATTTATACAACACCTGCGATGTGTATTCTAAGTTATATATTAATATCTGCAGGGTTTCCAGTAGTGCAAGATTTCAAGGGGATTCTTGGCAAAACAATGAAATGGGCCCCATTTCCAAACACAGTGACTGACATCTAATTTCATGTAACTAAAGTTGGGTTATTTCCTAAGTTGAAAATCTGGTGGAAACCCTGATCTGTACAGTCCTTGCCTCCCATTACCTCCCTGACATTCTGTTGCATGTGAAATGATATTTTATGTGTCACTTATTGTCTAGGTTCATGTCTGTGTATTATTTATATATTGAAACATGTATGGTAACCTGTATCAGTATGTCACATTATTTTCCTGTTTATTGTTAGGGGTTAAGATAAACAGGTTTTAGATAACTGTAATCATCTTTGGTGCAGTTCTGTCTATTTAATTGTTACATATACTCGGGCAGTTTTAGCTGATATGCAAGTGGCCTTAAAAAGATTGTAAGAAAGTAATGTAATATATTGTATAATCCAGTGTATATAAATGCTACATCTACATATCAGCCTACAGCAAGTTCACAACAGGACTGCTTTAGAAAACTGGGAGGGAATGGAGGTCCCAGAGGAGTAGCATCCAGTTTTAAGTTACTCCTATTGTGAACACAGCCTAAGGTGCATGGTTGCCAGTTTTTAATGCTAAAGCCATCTTCATATATATACACAATTAAAAAAATAGATAAAAAAAATAAGCATGAGACATGTGAACCTCATGTGTGTCTCGTGTTTATTTATTTTTATTTATTTATTTTTTAATTGTGTATACATGCTCTGCATAGTTGAGCAATCTGGTTACCCATACCACGCATACCATTTATATATATATATATATATGACAACTAATGTATTGAATGGAATGTTAACCAGTGTACCTCTATTTCTGGTCATATTCCAGGCGTTGTGGTGTCATTTTTAAATGTCAAAAACATTTAGTTCTTAATGTGCTTCTGTCATCCATGGCTCTCTAGATATGTGATATCTAAAGGGAATATCATAATGTTTGTCTATAAACTGAGAATGGCACTTAATTATTGGAAACTATTTTACCAACACTTGAAAAGAGTGAGACTGTATTTTGAGCAACATTTTAAGAGTTAAGATATTGATGGTTTAAAAAATAATCTGTTATTGTTTTTAATTTTGAAGGCATCCTTTTTGATGTCTTGTATATTGACTGTTCTTGGTTTTTTTTTTTCATATATATATATATATCAGCTCTGAACCAGGCACCCCCAATTCCAGTGCTGAAGAGAGAAAGTCCAGCTTCCAGGCTGTTGCTCCAGTAACTTCTGATGCTGCGCTGACAATACCAGTAGCCACAAAACAGACAGTAACAGTGCCCACAGATAAAAGTAAGTGAAGCCTTTTTAAAAGAAAATATCATATCAATGGATCTACATTGTAACATACATTAATGGGGTTCTTTTATCTTTTGAGGTTATCCTCTTATTTTATGTGAATAAAAAAGTTAGGAAGGATGACAGATTTTGTGTATATTTTGATGAACAGAAGAAACTCCGCAGACGTAGAGTTTTTTCTCCATTTGTTTTTTTATATCTTCATTCCTTCACAATTTATAGGGTAAGTTATGATTTTGACTGTATGCTGACCTTATGAAGATCTAAAAGTGATTTTAAAAATAATACAGGATTTGTTTGTATTTTTAAAGGTATGTGGTCCAACCTCTTTTATCATGTATGAAAGGCCACATTATGCACAGCCACATATTATAACATTTGATTCCAATTAATTTGTTAATTTTGACCTTTAAAAAGTTAATCATCTGTCATGCAGTCAATTATTATTATTGCTGCACGTGGTGTCTTGACATTGTTTAGACAGGACGTTTTGTAAAAGAGGATATCCATCCTGTAATATATTTTAGCTTATTTTCATGTTAATTTTGAAATTAGGAAAAGAGCACCAAGGTTGATTAGCAATCAAATAAATAAATAAATGAATTCATATGCCTTTAGACCAAATGTAAGACTGCTGTTGTCATGGTATGGTACGTCATATATAGCTCCATACTCAAGCTGATGCCTGACTGACATAAATAAAACATGAAAAACTGGTCCAACTGATCAGCAAAGGTTGTTTAACAAATCTGTCTACACGAGCTGGGACATTTTAAAAAGATTTGAGAAATTTGGCATTTTTGGAGTCACAAGAGATATATTAGTTAATTTCAAATATGGCTTGCATTAAGAGGTGTGAAGGCAGGGCAGTAAAAGGTGCAGAAAATTTCTATGTTCTTTCAGTTACTTGGTTAGTTCTGAATATTTTTTATGCATGACAGTATAAAAACACAATGAAAAGAAGATTTACATATTGTACGCATGTAATATACTACAATTTCTTAAGATGTTTTGGATATATATATATATAGTGTAAAAGTATGTTGTTCTGTTTTCCAGTGCTGATAGATTCATCTAAAAGAGGAGATTTAGTCAGGGTAAGTGTCATATCAGAAGGATATCATGACTGTTTAAAACCTTGGTCATGATTTAATTTATGTACTCATAAAATGGCCAAGTAAAAGTACTTCTTGATTAGACATAAGAATTATAACAAGGTAAACAACCTCTGTTAAAATTATTCCATCATTGAAAGCTGTGCTTTTTTTTAACTAGATAATGGAGCTTCATCGTGGAGGTGCAAACCTGTTAGCAACTGATCAGTATGGCATGACTGCATTACATCATGCATCACGTTTCGGGCATAAAGAGGTTGTCAAGTTCCTCATAGAGAATGGTAGGTGATCTCTAAATCTTTTCTTTTTTCAGAAGGCAAAATATTAAAGGAACAAGTAAGATGAAGAAATGGATTACAAAATTTGATTATGGATTTTCTGATTAATTTTCTTCAGGTTGCATTCTAAATAAACATGGCTTGTTTTTATGTACAGACACAGATGTGTCTGTACATATTGCCATCACCTGCGTCTGTCGTCGCCGTCGCCGTTCATGTCGCCGTTCATGTCGTCGTCCATGTCGCCGTCGCCGTCGCCGTGCACTTTCAGCGTTAACACCATAAGTGGAAGACAGTTTTACTTTTTGGCTTTATATTTACAGAGCTGATGAATATTCATAAAACGCAGGTCAAGTTCGAAAATNTTTCTAATACATGGTCTCTATAGACATTTTTGCAATGTAAAAAAAGATAAATAAATAAAGGATACAACTGTGTTGAAATTACAGGCAAATTAAAGGTTTTATTTATATTGCAGCACCACCTGTCATTTTAGATATTGTGGATCTAGAAAAGTAAGTTTCTGAAAAATTTTTTTATCATAAGTCATACATATTTGAAACTTATGTGGATTTAAGTTATAAACCAAGATTCAAGAAAATTGTTACGATAAGTCTCTGAAAACTTACTTGTGTACTTGAAATGTCCTCAGGGTAATTCTTGTCTACATATTTTCACCCTGCCAGGTATGTGCCATTATTCTCCCATTGCACAGAAAACAGTTGGTAAATGTTGACATATTGATGCATTATTTTTATAATATGTGATATGCTTTTTTATTCCAGAGGCCAGACGGCCCTCCACAAGGCTGCCTGGTATCAGCGTCGCACCATCTGCTGTATGTTGGTGGCAGCAGGGGCATCACTCACTAAGAAGGACTACCAGGTCAGCAACAATACCTCATGGTTTTCTGGCGTGAATACTTATTAAGGGTCAATTAGATCAATCTTGGTGGAAGAGGTGATTCAGATTGCAATCAAGCCAGTAAATGCACAGCATTAGTATTAGCTACTTTCAGCTTATTGTTAAAAGTGTAATTTCCAGAATGCGAGCAATCTGCAAATACATAGCACCTCTTGGCAAGTTGACAATAAGCACTTCTAATGCCCTTAGAGCATTCCTACCTAATATGAACAAGCTACCTTTTGTCAGTTGAATCACCCATGGTTGTTACTCTCCGTTGTCTTCTTACAGTGTATTTCAGGATGGCTGTTTTTCAAGTGCTAGTCAGACTAATTTAGACTTAAATGCAGAACTGCATAATCCAATGTAACAATAAACACAAGATCAATCTCAGATAAAGTGATTAAAGGTACATACGAACCGAGCATCAGTGGAGCGTGGATTCCCAGTAACACATGTAAACCACTTCTACTAGACTCAAATAAATTCGACATGCCAAGGGATAAACTGAATAGATCACTCGATCAGCCATAAAAGACCTTTAGACTGCTCCTTTCTTTAAATTTTTGGTTGTAAATTTAACCTACTTTCGTGACCTACTTTCCTGCCCCATTGACATACAGCTTAGAATGTCATCAGAAAAATCCGTTCAAACATCATTTTCGGGTAAAATTAAACAATGCCTTTTGGTAATTCTCTTAGTTATACTACTTGAAACTATATGCTGGCATTTGGTTGGTTTTTGTGACAAAAAATTGACCTTGTATGCATCTTTAATAGTACATGTTGATTGAAAATTAAATGCCATTTGCATGTCAGTATTAACAACTGTACATTATTTTTATGCTTTTCGTAATAGCACATGGTTAACCGTGCTTCCTTGTGTTCTCTTACAGGGCAATACTCCCAGGTTACAAGCTCTAAAAGCAGAAGACATGGAGCTGGCTGCTTACTTAGAGAGCCAGGAACATTTTCAGCTGGTTGTTTCTGAAGATCACGAGACTGCAGTGTAACAGTGTTGTTTTGCAAGGAGTTCATAGCATTTGGTTATTGGGGTTTAGCTTCAAACATTGTGAATTTGTTCATCATAAGAAGTGATTTTGAGTTGAAAAACTTTCAGACTCGGTAGTACTTCATGATATATTTGTTGGAAAGGACTACCAGACAAAGATTTTGCAGGAAATGTTTATCCTAAGAAATGTTTTATAGAGTAAAAGAAAATGAAATTATGGCTCTTACTAAAAGGGACAAATTAAGTTGTGAGAGGAAGATGCAAGAAACAGTTTAAAATGAGAAAATTCTGTAATGCGGTCCTAACCTTCGTATTGTGAAAGAGAAACAGTACGCGTGTGTGAGTTTTTTTGAAAGAACAAGTGTAAGCAGTTAACAGTTAATGCAGAATATGTAGTTTTCTGTTGTGGATATGCAGTCATTTATCTGTGAAGGGAGAAATGGCACACTGTGATGTACTAGTACTGCATGGAACACAGACAAATATAGAGATGTTGTTGTCAAAGATGACGATGCAAGCATTATTACATAATATCTCTTACCTGCACTGTATTGCATACAACTATTTTAACCAAAAAATGAAGAATTGTTGACATTGTACAGATTAACATAATGTACCTGTGTGTATGCAGTGATGTCTTTATCTTCTGCACAATATATATGTTGGTCATGAAGAGTCTAATAATGTACTTACTGTACTAGAAATTTAAGTATATTAACCCATAGCATTTTTGGAAGCATTCCAACTGCTCAAGTTTCCCAAATGATATTTAATGCAATGATTATACTCTATGGAATTGTACAATTATTTCTGTGTATAGAAGTAAAAATGAAGTGGATGCAATGGTTCTACAGCAACTGGAAAGCAGTATTGTACTTGATGCAGGATTTATTTTGTTATTTCTAAGTACAAGGCAACAGACAGCCTGAATAATCTGATTGAAGCCAGTTTATTGAATTTTCATTGCTGGTTTGTTTTCTGTGTTTTGTTCACCTCTCAGTGCTAACAAGGTTGCCAGTCATCATATCTAATGAGGCATTTTAGCCCAAATCATTTCCCAGCTAGGACAGTTTGGTGACAATTCGCACAAAGCACATAATTTTGTCCACTGGTAACTTTTAAAGTCAAATGTCATTCTTGCTTGTATCATCGAACAGCATTTGATCAGACAATTGTCAGATTGTGATATTTCTTCAAATAAGTTGTTGGCATCCATGTTACATTCTCTGGTACAGTGATTTGCTAGGTAAAACTTTCATATCAAGCTGGACTTGAATGACTTATTTAATACTAATTAGAAAGTTTTTTAATTAAGATTAATTTATTTGAAATATTTTACTAATTCTAGAAGTGAAAAAAAAAAACACCAGACATTGTCAGGATAAATAACTTAAATGATGCCACAGCATTGTGCATTTATGCACTTTAAATGTTTATTAAGTAATTGTTCTCAGTATTCTTCTCTGTCTCTAGCTTATCAATATATGTTAAGAATTAGAATAAGTGTTTTGTTTTATCATGCGTACACATAATTAAAAGTCTAACTTGATAGCAGATGGGTGAAGTAATAGACTTTATTATGATGCACTTTGAATTATCCAGTATCTTATATTGCAACTAGAATAGACAAGGATTTGAATGAAAAGCTGCAGATATGATTCTTGGTACCTGAGCTTTAAGCAAATGAATTTTATGACTGTTGTATATATATAAAGCAAACTCAAGGAAAAATGTCTGCTTACTTTTTGAGTGTGGTGGTATTTCATTAAATGGCATGTAGCATCTTTTTTCATTCTTTTGAACAAGTTTTGTGATTGGAAAGATTGCACAGTTCATTTAGTTAATTTTCTTCAGTTACTTTCCTGTTTTGTGAAGGTTAATTTACTGGAGATTGGCTCTCCTGTTATCTATATAAGTGATGTAAACAATGCAGTAAGCCAGAGTACTGTAACATGGAGCAAGTTTTCTTAGGGTTACTTTGAGAACATTGAGATATATATATCAGTAGATATATAAAGCAGTAGATAGTTGACATGTTTAAAATTCTTTTCCCCTTTATGATTTATTCTAGTCAGTATATCAGTGACTTTGCTTCATTTTAAGCTTCATGATAACTCATTTAATTGCAAATAAAAGCTAGCAGGGCACTGACTGTTCCCACCTGTGAAGCACATGCTTAAACAGATGCAACCTTCTTGTATCTTGTGCTGCTTTTGTAATAGTAGAGTAAATAAGAAGGTTGTAGGTCTTAGGTGATTTTGTTTAATATGGCTTTAGGTTGTCTTGAAATCCCAGCATGAGCAAAGAACACACTGAGGTTGTGCTGACCTGGTAATATATTCAGAAGACCTATTTTGATATTCCTTATATAAAAAAACAATTTTTAATAATAAAAAAATTAACCCAAGCCCTCGCTGAAGTTGATCGTTTATTTTTTTATTAGTTATTTCTATTTAACTTCATTATAATTTACAGCATATGTGTGTGGATAATCAGTTTTAAAACAACTGGACAGGTTAACATGACAGAAGAATTCTCCATTGCTCTTCCGCATATAGGTCTGGCTTGGGTGACCTACATCAGGTTACTTTTTAGAGATATCTTCTCTGTAGCAATCATTCTAACCAGCTGTACCACAATTTTCCATCAAGAGTTTACCAGAGAAAGTGTAAGATGATAGTACTTCTTTCCCTTCTATTGATTTAAGTTTAAAAACTGCAAGACCCAAAATGCAATAAAGACATTTTTTTAATGTAACTCACAAAAGGTTCCAATTTCCAGAACCTTTGCAACCAAGTCCATTAACTAATTGGCTTTGTTGATACTAGACAAGTTGGGATTCCTTTTTTCAACTTTTTAAAACAGTTTAATGTCATTTTTTTTTTTTTCAGATTTCACCTGTACCTTCAAAATTAATAACACAAATTTCACTTAAAATATTTTTATTGCAACTGGATAATTCATAAGCTGTATGAGAATGACAAAAAATTGATGTGTGACATGAATGAATGGAAAACATATTGCATTTCCTCTTTAACATAAACATACTTCATAGTAATAGATAAATATATACAAAATTCATACTTTAAAAAATATACCACCAGACTTAAACTGCATCATACACAGTAGTACTAAAAGGACAAGGTGTCTGTCTAGTACCCATTATCTTGCTGAGACGGAGACAACAGTTTTGTATGGCAATTACAGAATGTATTAGAATGAATTCATGCACCATTTATGTCCCAGGAATTTCCCTTGGTCAATATCAGTGTTTTTACAGGATTCTAAAAACACTATTCACAAAACAGAAGTTTTGCACCATACTTCCAATATTTCAGATTAAAAATACTGATATAATAATAATTATTATAAATAAATAAATGCACTAGTATGCCAAGCCTAGTGACTAGAATCTGTGCAGGGAAAGTCTTGGAAACAAGGGACTACAAGTAATGCTTGGCTCTCTGGTCTTCACTGCTTCATTGAATGCCCAGAGTCTACACCAGCATGCTTCAGCTGCAGTTTAAGTATGAATATTTAAATAAATAGCAAAAGGGTAGCTTTACCCATGTCTTATGTACATTAGCAGCCTTAGGGGCTTGACCTCATGGCTAAGAGGTAAATATAGGGTGTCATCTGTGGGGCTATATTCTATGGTGATAATTGCAAGATTCAGTGCATGTGTTTAACTGAGACAGTTGGTGCTTTATATAACACAAGGGGTAACATCTTTGAATGCTTTACAATTTCCCCTGACACTGTACTTGCTTTTCTACGTGCTCTAATTGCACTTCACTCTTTGGCAACGTAAAATGATCCGTTTCCTTTTTTGTTTTATCTTAATTTAGTTCTTGTACAGTTTTTCTATTTTTTTAACCATTTTGTCCTTAGGTAGTAATTATTTTTCTAAAAAAAGTCAACTACACTATCAGGTTTTATAATAACATAAACCAGTCTACTTAACTAACCCTGTTAGAGTAGTTATGCAAATGACATCAACAACAAACATTTTATGATATGGATATCATTATGAGTTAGATCCCTCACCCCCTTATCCCACCACCTGTTATTTTTCCCATGCCCTTGGAAGCAGTTCTGGGACACTGCTGTGCTTCCCCATGTGGGTCACTATAATACAAACTACATTCTAAGTCTATGTGTTCTCCAACACAATCAAAACCAGAATGTAGTATCATATGTGCGTACCACGCAACTGCTCAAAACCTCTTTACAGAAATGCCTGCCTGTTACAGCTACATATGTATACATATATATATATATATCAAAAAGCATGTTACACTTTGGTCCAACAGTTCTTGGTCAGTCAGCTAAGTTGGTAAATGCTGACCAATTCCACTGCACCATTAAAACTGACCATCAACAATCAGGCCGTGGCATTGACACTCTGGTCCATCACTCTGATGTCTGCTGCAATGTCCGGGTGCATGGAGGCTTGATCCACAACCTTGACCTCATCTGCAGTGTCATTACTCTGTGGTGACACAGCATTGAAGACCACTGCGGTGTTGTCATGTTCATCAGGGGTCACCTCATGGAAGAACTTGTTGGCAATACTGGCAAGGAGGCTGTTTGGATCATGTGCTGCAGACTCCACATCATGTTCTTCTTGCATCGAAAGCAAGACACGCGAGGAGCGTTCTGTAAGAAAAAATGTTCAATAGTGATAAGTCTTGATAACTACTATAGGATATTTTCTGTACCTTTGTTATCTACCAGATGACAATTTGGAAATTAATTCATCATATTTTCTGAATTGATATTCTGCACATCCCTGAGCTACTGTGGGTATTTTAATCATGATGCCAATTATTATTTTATGCAATAATAATAATTATAACTATAACAACTGTATATTACTGTATTCAAATGTAATTAATGACATTTTGTAGAATATAACATACATGGGGTCAGTTTATTATTAATGACTATGCTGTAATGGTTTTAAAAGCACAATTTATATTCAAACTTATAGACAATCCATTGGCAAAAAACAGCCATCTCAGATAATCATTCAAAAGAAAAAGAAAAAAGAATGTGACTAATCTATTTCGAGAACATGATACAAAGAAGACAATACAAAAACAAGGTCACTTACGGTTTGGAGTGGCATAAGCATCCTTGGGATGTGGCCCTACCACACTGTCATGGAAGTGGAAGTCTGGTTTGGGCATGGCAGCTATAGGGGAATAGCCTATGTTCAGGGAGGTGGGGGACATATTCCCCAGGAACACAGAGAAGAACAATACAAGCACCTGTAAAATTTGTAAATTTTGCAGTTATGTGTAATTCAATTTAAATGAAAAACTTGTAGAAACTTGAAATGTATCATATTTAAATTCTGAAAGAAACATTATCCCATACAGCTTTTCATGTTACATATTTTATACCAATATAAATTATTTTGATTGGCAACTTCACACATGAGCACAAAACTTTAATGTACCCATTAAATACCTCATCCTCATGATTAACAGCATAAAGAAAATACCTAAAGAGACTGATTCTATACAATGTCTGCATGTTTCTTTAACTGAGCTGCCACTTCCCTAGTAACATATGGACTTGAACCATGAAGTAAAACAGATCACCTTGCATATTTCATAATGCTAATACTTGACAACATGTTGACTTTAAATACGCATCTATCTCCAATCCCTGCTCATAAAGAATGCATGTCAGCCAGTGGTAATTGCTAGGTAACGTCACTATATCAGTGCATATGCTCAATTGTCATGGCAACCACTTACCATTAGACAAGTACCAGCTTGTGTGGTGGGTGATGATGGGCATACTTTATTACAGATATTCTGGAGTTTCTGCAGCTGAGAAAGTAATGACCTAAAATTGAAGACAATGTACATGTAGAAGAATATTCTGCTGTGGCAACATTTTTATCATCAACAAGTTTTTTTCCTGTGGAAAATCCTTAAGGAACTTAACTTAATATTATCAGTAATACTGATCACAGTAACTACTAACACTGACTCAAAGGTGCTAGTATACAGTAGAGAAAAACATTTAACTCTACCATAACATAGCTGTGAATCTTATCTTAAACTTATAAAAATATACTTATACCAATAAAAAAACACTAACCTGTTGCTGCTTTCCAAACTGTCAACTTTCTTTCTCAGATCATTATTTTCTACATTCACTTGCTCAACTCTGAAAAAGGAGGAGGAAGAGGTTAGATGACAATACCATATACATAAAGTAAAATATTGTAACTGATATGTATGAAACACATGAAAGCATCATTGCACTGAAGAAATAACAGCACATTTGACAAAACTTCCAAAATTCTTTAAATTTAAGTATGTAGATTTACTGTATATTTGAAAATTTCACTTGATAATTTTGTCACATGTCTCTGAATGATGGAAGAACATCAGAACATCTGACATAAAATGTTTTTAATGCACAAATGAAAACTGTCATTTCAGATCAAATGGCCATTATATCAGATGTACTACTGCTCATTTTGAGAAGCATTTATGGAAAAAGGCTATCATGTTTCAGTTTGGACAATAGATATTTAATATCACTCCAGGAAATATCTAATCCATTCCACAACAATGACCTCTATTATATCTTGCAAATAATACCACAATAATGATAATGTCATGGTGATAATGTTTCCACAGCTGTGCAGGAGGTTGAGGCTTGCCTTGGTGATAAATGACCAAGTTGCATTGAAATGGAAGTAGTAGTAGGAGTTCAAAAGGCTGTCTCATTTAAACCAGCTGTATTGCATCATGCTTGTTGTTCAGCTGGGTTGACCTTGAGGTCACACATCCACAGACTCCCACAGCAACTCCCACATCACTTTATACACAAGCCATGCTGGTCTCCACACATATCAATCAACCATTTCATCTGTGCCAGTGTTAACTGGGATCAAGCTTATGCATAATATTTCACTTCCCCAGTAACACTTGTTAAAGATAACATACTTTGTCAAAAGAAAATAAAAACTTGTTTCACCACTTTCTATTAATTGGCAGGACAAAAAATTAAAATTTGCCTAAAAGATTAAAAATGCCAGGATAAACTTAATTTGATGAATAAGAAATGCCTTTGCATGATAACCAATTGACATTTCCCTTTTTATCTTTGATACATTTGCTGCTTTTTATTACAGCTCAAACTTGTTTTTAACCGCTGCTCAAAAATATCCAGTAGGTTAACAATCCTTTCCAGACATTTCCAGCAGAACTAATTGAATTTCAAACCACAAAATTTGGCACTTTCCACTCAGCACTCCAGTCACCCCTTCTATTCAGGTCACAGTGAGTAACAGCCCAGACACTACTGTATTCAGCCTTGTAACTGGCAATAAGGATTTTATTATGCACCACCCAACCACACAGTGTTGCAGGCTTTTGAAGTTTATCCAGTCATTTCTTTAATTTCATATTGAGCCTGGCTGTTTTCTTACCAGTCTAGGGAAATTGAATATTGTTTTGAAAAAACAAAAAGCACCTTTCATTAATGATGATTGTATCTGTGCTTTTGGTCAATTCCAAGAAGTCTGGGAAGGGATCACCAGAAGTGGGAAAACATGTTTTTACAATCAATGAGATCCCATCTCAACCAATTCTCTCAAGGAAAAATAACAAGATTACTCAGATCAGTGGCCTGCAAACACTCACCTTTTTTCTAAACACTCCAAGTATTCCTTCTTTTTCCGCCTACTTTCTTGTGCTGATATCTAAAAGAGAAAAGAGTTGTTGAAAAGAGTCAATAGTTATTAGAAAATCTTTTAAGAAATCGGAAATCCTGCCAAATGCTTAAAACTAGTGTCATTTCCTCTACGTTGATTTATCTTTCCCTGCCAACAGGCATGAGAGTAACGATGTCTGACCCTGTTAACCTAAAGTGACTTTTTTTTCTAGTTCTGATAGACATCAAGCTGGTAAATGCTTCCATTAGAACAGTCTAGACCTAGAATAACTTAATTTCTTTGTAGTATGGCAAGTTTTCCAAAACAGATGGGTTGCTTAAAGTGAACTTGTAACAAGTGGGAAATACTGGGTAAAAAAACAATTCATGGAAAATGATTTTATGCTGACCTAAAATGCCCCACTGTACTTTTGTTATTGCTGGGTAGGGCATTTGGGTTGACCTGAAGTGCACACCAGTGTGATTAATGGTCACCGAGTAACACTGCAAGAAAACCCTTGACCAGGGACTTAACTTTCATAGAAACATTTTGATGTTCCACCTTCAAAGGGAAACTGTGTCTATATACAAAATAAAACCTACCTTGTTTTTAATTTTCCTTCTTATTTTCTTAAGATTTTTCTCCTCTTGCTTTGTGAGTGGCAGTTTTGAAGGTATGGGATAACCTTCTGATATTAATGTCCTCTTTTCCTCTTCTGTTAATATTAAAACTCCAGACTGAGGAATCTGTGAATATAGACAGGAAAAAAAACATTAATCATGTAAATATTTTCCACATAATATGATGTGATATACACAAAAATCACCTTACATTCAAAAAATACCCTCAGCCTAGATTGTCAACTGTTACTTTATTATAAAATTGACAATTATGTTTAACAGGTATTTAACAGCCATAGTTAAAAATAAACTTAAAAAGATTCAGCAACTGTTTATGTTCTCTACTTTTCACTTGTCTTTTATACTTTTAATCAGCTTTCACGTAATATATCCATGTTAATAATCAAGTCTAAGATAGAGAAGGGTTTATATCTGCATCATGTTGGATGTATTAATGCATGTACATGTATAAATATTAAAGTCTGGTTCTATATCTAAGGAGTGTAAATTATCTGAGGAGTGTAAAATTGTGACCCATTACTGACACCAGTTCAGAGGGACTTTGGATAGATTGAACTTTTTTTGGTTGTTTTGACTGCTAGAAAGTAAGAAAAGAAAGACAACAGTTGATCCATCTACAACTTGATCAACAGGAAGTCCTACAGTTAATGTAGCTCTACAATAAGGAAAAATTCCATCACTGGTTCATGCATAAAAAATATGCAACCCACATGCACATAAAGCAGATTGTGTCCAGCATACAGATAATAAATTCTAGCTTTCATGGTCTATAAAATATTAATTCATTCCACTATCAATATACAGTAGAAAGAGAAACAGTAACCATTCAAATGATGCTGGTGCTTGATAACAATACAGCTCTGGCAATGTGTAGCACTGACGTTACTTCTGTCTCTCTCTATATATATAATAATATATATTAAAGTGCATTAAATAATCATCTCAACTCACTTAACATTAACCTTGAATATTTGCCCATTTCTTTCTTTAAATAACTGTTTCACATCTACTGTTATTCTATATCTTTGGATACAAACATTTCTTTTGGCTAGGGTGTGCTTCCACAAACCCAGCTAAATAGAGATAAGGGGCACTTTAGGGTCAAGCAGGGCTTTATACAGAGAGGATACTCATATCTGAGGATAAACAGGTGGTGCTATTCTTGGTGAGAGAGCAGATGTGCCATGTAAAGGGAAAACATGTCACCCTACAGCACATCACAACTTTGGCTTCCAGCAATATTCCCTCGAGTCTAAAACAATTTAATATTCCCAACTATGTGACCACAGGTTCACAAATAGATGACATTTCATATGTGAAAATGAGAAAAATGTATATATTATTAAATGCACAATTACCAATTTTCCTGCAGCCAAATTAGAAACTTATACATCATGTACTATAGCATACACTTACAGTGCTCTGAATAAATGGTGATGGCATAGGTTGCCGCATTTGTGAACGCGGCTGTAACATTCTCTGTGGACTGGAAGGTGGAGAGCGGCGTGGGCTCAGGCCACCTTCACTGTCACTAGAAGCACTGCTTGGAGGGGTCGGTGGCAGGTGGATGGAATCATAACCTGAAATCCATGAAATTGTGATTGTAAAAACAATGTTTTCAATTTCAAGAAAACTAGACAGGGAACAATAAAAGGTGAAATTTCTGGTTGTTGGCAATATATTTGCCATGTGAAGTCCTTGTGAAAGTTCAATGTTCTGACTACAGTTTTTAATGATATCATAATTATTATAAAAATAGACAAATTATGAATCTCATACAAAACTGAGGGACGTACTAAAAGCATGAAATATACAAAATGAGAATAACGTGTAGTTAAAACCTGTCTCCTTCCCCAAATAAAAAAGTAACACAACCATGAGTCAAAGTGCACTCTTCTCAAACAAACATAAGTAGGTAGGGGGTCAGTGAATAGAAGGGAAAATGTAATCTTAACTAATTATCTAAACAAATATTCAGAAGCAAGGCATACTATCTTAATTTACGATGGCATCCATTTTGTTTTTTCTAGCTTTCTGTCAATATGCTTCCCAACAATCATAGTCTCATTTTGAAACACAGTGGTAATGACTCCAATACATTCCAAATGTCAATTATAATTGATTTCCTTAGAATAATCAAGACAGGTAATATTATCAAGGTTTAGCTACATGCAAAAGCCAATCTACTATCCTCATGCTGAGCTCAGACTGGTGAATAATTAATCTACTCAGAAGAGTCAATATCTTACTTGTTGATTCGATGTCCATGGCATCAGGTGGTTCAACCTTAATGTTGACTTTGGGAATGGTGTGCTTCTCTTGCTTGAACTGTTGTTCTACCAGCTGTGTTGTAGTGGCCAGTATGATTGTGGGTTGTTTCACATAGCATGTGTGGGTCTGTCCGTTGCCGCCAGTCAGGGTCTTCGTCGCCATTTCCGTTTCCAGTCGCTCCTGTTTTATCAGGCTCATTTGTCGTTTTTCTGTTGGCATTGTTGTGGTTGTTGTTGTTGCTGATGTTGGTGCTGTTACCGTGGTCATGGTCAGGTCCAGTGGATTGCAGCTCTGGGCAGGGAACAACTCAGTGTCCATTTCTAAATTAAAAAGAAATTAACATTTCTAAAACTTCTTTTCTAGTTGAGACAAAATCTAAATCTAGCTTGGGTTACATCAAAATCAATGCAACCAAAACATCTTCAACTTTGCTTCATAAAATACCATTTAATAGTAGTCTAAGTGTGATTCAATAAAAAGCATTATGCTAATTACATAAAAAGTTTTTTACCATATGGGTTCACATAGTTTATATAATGGAATACTTAACTACCATAAAAGTATCATGTAGTTAAAGAAATCGGTTTCATATTTTTAATACCTGTATTTATTAAAATCATATCTTCTTAAGACATATCTATAGACAATAGCAGGCTGAGAATCATGGAGAGAAAACTGTTAATAGCAAAATGATGATGAAAGTGTAGGTCATAGTAATGGCAATTCCAAATCTAACATAAGGTGAGTAGCAAAGCCATCTTTTATCTTGTCTGTCTTCAGCATGCCATGGACTGGGGACCACAACAACTGGATCCTGTGTTCTAGGCCACATAATAGAACAGTAACACACTAAGACTTGATGGCACCTACACATGCTACATGTGCACTTCACAAATACCACTGACTGGCCATGCTGTTTGTTCAGCATGCAAGTGGGAGAAACAAAGCCTAGCCTGTGTATGAATATAGAATAACCACTAATGTTCTATCATTTCATCACCTGTGTAATGTCACTACAGGTGGTTCACTTGATTATACAAAGCTGATAATAATAATGACCCCTTAATTATAATTACAGGACCCCCATATCTATCCCCTCATAAATAAGGTAGTAAATATAGTCTTCAATTAGATTACAGATCATTTGCGTTGTCTGAGTGAAAATCTACCTAAACCTGGCCAGAGACCTATATGGTCAATGAACATATGCTGGCTCTTAGTTCATTTGGATATGAGAATTTCACTTATCAACAACCATTAAAGGGATAATAACTCTTCGTATGAGATCTATATTTCACAATAAAAACATTTGTGAATAACTCATAGAAATATAATATATTCTGTTTTACCACAAAACGGCAGTAATAGCTATTATTCTGATATCTGAGCTTGTCTTTAGACCACGTGACCTCCATTGATGGCTATACTCTGTTAAAATCTCTTAAGAGATTTTAACAAAAAACCAAACTTTTTAGAAAAAAACCAGGGACTAACTTTGAATGTAACAAGNTTATAACAACTGTAAATTACTGTATTCAATTGTAATTAATGACATTTTGTAGAATATTACATATATGGGGTCAGTTTATTATTAATGACTATGCTGTAATGGTTTTAAAAGCACAATTTATATTACAACTTAAAGACAATCCATTGGCAAAAAACAGCCATCTCAGATAATCATTCGAAAGAAAAAGTAAGAAGAATGTCACTAATCTATTTCTAGAACATAATACAAAGAAAGCAATACAAAAACAAGGTCACTTACGGTTTGGAGTGGCATAAGCATCCTTGGGATGTGGCCCTACCACACTGTCATGGAAGTGGAAGTCTGGTTTGGGCATGGCAGCTATAGGGGAATAGCCTATGTTCAGGGAGGTGGGGGACATATTCCCCAGGAACACAGAGAAGAACAATACAAGCACCTGTAAAATTTGTAAATTTTGCAGTTATGTGTAATTCAATTTAAATGAAAAACTTGTAGAAACTTGAAATGTATCATATTTAAATTCTGAAAGAAACATTATCCCATACAGCTTTTCATGTTACATATTTTATACCAATATAAATTATTTTGATTGGCAACTTCACACATGAGCATAAAACTTTAATGTACCCATTAAATACCTCATCCTCATGATTAACAGCATAAAGAAAATACCTAAAGAGACTGATTCTATACAATGTCTGCATGTTTCTTTAACTGAGCTGCCACTTCCCTAGTAACATATGGACTTGAACCATGAAGTAAAACAGATCACCTTGCATATTTCATAATGCTAATACTTGACAACATGTTGACTTAAAATACGCATCTATCTCCAATCCCTGCTCATAAAGAATGCATGTCAGCCAGTGGTAATTGCTAGGTAACGTCACTATATCAGTGCATATGCTCAGTTGTCATGGCAACCACTTACCATTAGACAAGTACCAGCTTGTGTGGTGGGTGATGATGGGCATACTTTATTACAGATATTCTGGAGTTTCTGCAGCTGAGAAAGTAATGACCTAAAATTGAAGACAATGTATGTGTAGAAGAATATTCTGCTGTGGCAACATTTTTATCATCAACAAAAGTTTTTTTCCTGTGGCAAATCCTTAAGGAACTTAACTTGATATTATCAGTAATACTGATCACAGTACCTATAACACTGACTCAAAGGTATGCAGTAGAGAAAAACATTTAACTCTACCATAACATAGCTGTGAATCTTATCTATATAACTTGATAACCAACAAAAAACACTTACCTGTTGCTGCTTTCCAAACTGTCAACTTTCTTTCTCAGATCATTATTTTCTACATTCACTTGCTCAACTCTGAAAAAGGAGGAGGAAGAGGTTAGATGACAATACCATATACATAAGGTAAAGCAATGTAACTGATATGTATGAAATATATGAAAGCATCATTGCACTGAAGAAATAACAGCACATTTGACAAAACTTCCAAAATTCTTTAAATTTAAGTATGTAGATTTACAGTATATTTCACTTGATAATTTTGTCACATGTCTCAGAATGATGGAAACATCACAGGATGCAGAACATCTGACATAAAATGTTTTTAATGCACAAATGAAAACTCATTTCAGATCAAATGGCCATTATATCAGATGTACTACTGCTCATTTTGAGAAGCATTTATGGAAAAAGGCTATCATGTTTCAGTTTGGACAATAGATATTTAATATCACTCCAGGAAATATCTAATCCATTCCACAACAATGACCTCTATTATATCTTGCAAATAATACCACAATAATGATAATGTCATGGTGATAATGTTTCCACAGCTGTGCAGAAGGTTGAGGCTTGCCTTGGTGATAAATGACCAAGTTGCATTGAAATGGAAGTAGTAGTAAGAGTTCAAAAGGCTGTCTCATTTAAACCAGCTGTATTGCATCATGCTTGTTGTTCAGCTGGGTGGACCTTGAGGTCACACATCCACAGCAACTCCCACATCACTTCATACACAAGCCATGCTGGTCTCCACACATATCAATCAACTATTTCATCTGTGCCAGTGTTGACTGGGCTCAAGCTTATGCATAATATTTCACTTCCCCAGTAACACTTGTTAAAGATAACATACTTTGTCAAAAGAAAATAAAAACTTGTTTCACCACTTTCTATTAATTGGCAGGACAAAAAATTAAAAATTTGCCTAAAAGATTAAAAATGCCAGGATAAACTTAATTTGATGAATAAGAAATGCCTTTGCATGATAATCAATTGACATTTCCCTTTTTATCTTTGATACATTTTGCTGCTTTTTATTACAGCTCAAACTTGTTTTTAACCGCTGCTCAAAAATATCCAGTAGGTTAACAATCCTTTCCAGACATTTCCAGCAGAACTAATTGAATTTCAAACCACAAAATTTGGCACTTTCCACTCAGCACTCCAGTCACCCCTTCTATTCAGGTCACAGTGAGTAACAGCCCAGACACTACTGTATTCAGCCTTGTAACTGGCAATAAGGATTTTATTATGCACCACCCAACCACACAGTGTTGCAGGCTTTTGAAGTTTATCCAGTCATTTCTTTAATTTCATATTGAACCTGGCTGTTTTCTTACCAGTCTGAGAAAATTGAATATTGTTTTGAAAAAACAAAAAGCACCTTTCATTAATGATGATTGTATCTGTGCTTTTGGTCAATTCCAAGGAGAAGTCTGGGAAGGGATCACCAGAAGTGGGAAAACATGTTTTTACAATCAATGAGATCCCATCTCAACCAATTCTCTCAAGGAAAAATAACAAGATTACTCAGATCAGTGGTCTGCAAACACTCACCTTTTTTCTAAACACTCCAAGTATTCCTTCTTTTTCCGCCTACTTTCTTGTGCTGATATCTAAAAGAGAAATCATTGTTGAAAAGAGTCAATAGTTATTAGAAAATCTTTTAAGAAATCGGAAATCCTGCCAAATGCTTAAAACTAGTGTCATTTCCTCTACGTTGATTTATCTTTCCCTGCCAACAGGCATGAGAGTAACGATGTCTGACCCTGTTAACCTAAAGTGACTTTTTTTTCTAGTTCTGATAGACATCAAGCTGGTAAATGCTTCCATTAGAACAGTCTAGACCTAGAATAACTTAATTTTTTTGTAGTATGGCAAGTTTTCCAAAACAGATGGGTTGCTTAAAGTGAACTTGTAACAAGTGGGAAATACTGGGTAAAAAAACAATTCATGGAAAATGATTTTATGCTGACCTAAAATGCCCCACTGTACTTTTGTTATTGCTGGGTAGGGCATTTGGGTTGACCTGAAGTGCACACCAGTGTGATTAATGGTCACCGAGTAACACTGAGAAAACCCCTTGACCAGGGACTTAACTTTCATAGAAACATTTTGATGTTCCACCTTCAAAGGGAAACTGTGTCTATATACAAAACAAAACCTACCTTGTTTTTAATTTTCCTTCTTATTTTCTTAAGATTTTTCTCCTCTTGCTTTGTGAGTGGCAGTTTTGAAGGTATGGGATAACCTTCTGATATTAATGTCCTCTTTTCCTCTTCTGTTAATATTAAAACTCCAGACTGAGGAATCTGTGAATATAGACAGGAAAGAAACATTTAATCATGTAAATATTTTCCACATAATATGATGTGATATACAAAAAAATCACCTTACATGCAAAAAATACCCTCAGCCTAGATTGTCAACTGTTACTTTATTATAAACTTGACAATTGATGTTTAACAGGTATTTAACAGCCACAGTTAAAAATAAATTTAAAAAGATTCAGCAACTGTTTATGTGCTCTATTTTTCACTTGTCTTTCATACTTATAATCAGCTTTCACATAATATATCCATGTTAATAATCAAGTCTAAGATAGAGAAGGGTTTATATCTGCATCATGTTGGATGTATTAATGCATGTACATGTATAAATATTAAAGTCTGGTTCTATATCTAAGGAGTGTAAATTATCTGAGGAGTGTAAAATTGTGACCCATTACTGACACCAGTTCAGTGAGGGACTTTGGATAGATTGAACTTTTTTTGGTTGTTTTGACTGCTAGAAAGTAAGAAAAGAAAGACAACGGTTGATCCATCTACAACTTGATCAACAGGAAGTACTACAGTTAATGTAGCTCTACAGTAAGGAAAAATTCCATCACTGGTTCATGCATAAAAAATATGCAACCCACATGCACATAAAGCAGATTGTGTCCAGCATACAGATAATAAATTCTAGCTTTCATGGTCTATAAAATATTAATTCATTCCACTATCAATATACAGTAGAAAGAGAAACAGTAACCATTCAAATGATGCTGGTGCTTGATTACAATATAGCTCTGGCAATGTTTAGCACCGATGTTACCTCTCTCTCTCTCTCTCTCTCTCTCTCTCTCTCTCTCTCTCTCTCTATATATATATATATATATATATATATATATATTAAAGTGCATGAAATAATCATCTCAACTCACTTAACATTATATTACATACTTTTTTGAAAGAAAAAAAAGGATATTTGCCCATTTCTTTCTTCAAATAACTGTTACACATCTAATGTTATTCTATACCTTTGGATACAAACATTTATTTTGGCTAGGGTGTGCTTTCACAAACCCAGCTAAATAGAGATAAGGGGCACTTTAGGGTCAAGCAGGGCTTTATACAGAGAGGATACTCATATCTGAGGATAAACAGGTGGTGCTATTCTTGGTGAGAGAGCAGATGTGCCATGTAAAGGGAAAACATGTCACCCTACAGCACATCACAACTTTGGCTTCCAGCAATATTCCCTCGAGTCTAAAACAATTCAATATTCCCAACTATGTGACCACAGGTTCACAAATAGATGATATTTCATATGTGAAAATGAGAAAAATGTATATATTATTAAATGAACAATTACCAATTTTCCTGCAGCCAAATTAGAAACTTATACATAATGTACTATAGCATACACTTACAGTGCTCTGAATAAATGGTGATGGCATAGGTTGCCGCATTTGTGAACGCGGCTGTAACATTCTCTGTGGACTGGAAGGTGGAGAGCGGCGTGGGCTCAGGCCACCTTCACTGTCACTAGAAGCACTGCTTGGAGGGGTCGGTGGCAGGTGGATGGAATCATAACCTGAAATTCATGAAATTGTGATTGTAAAAACAATGTTTTCAATTTCAAGAAAACTAGACAGGGAACAATAAAAGGTGAAATTTCAGGTTGTTGGCAATATATTTGCCATGTGAAGTCCTTGTGAAAGTTCAATGTTCTGACTACAGTTTTTAATGATATCATAATTATTATAAAAACAGACAAATTATGAATCTCATACAAAACTGAGGGACGTACTGAAAGCATGAAATATACAAAATGAGAATAACGTGTAGTTAAAACCTGTCTCCTTCCCCAAATAAAAAAGTAACACAACCATGAGTCAAAGTGCACTCTTCTCAAACAAACATAAGTAGGTAGGGGGTCAGTGAATAGAAGGGAAAATGTAATCTTAACTAATTATCTAAACAAATATTCAGAAGCAAGGCATACTATCTTAATTTACGATGGCATCCATTTTGTTTTTTCTAGCTTTCTGTCAATATGCTTCCCAACAATCATAGTCTCATTTTGAAACACAGTGGTAATGACTCCAATACATTCCAAATGTCAATTATAATTGATTTCCTTAGAATAATCAAGACGGGTAATATTATCAAGGTTTAGCTACATGCAAAAGCCAATCTACTATCCTCATGCTGAGCTCAGACTGGTGAATAATTAATCTACTCAGAAGAGTCAATATCTTACTTGTTGATTCGATGTCCATGGCATCAGGTGGTTCAACCTTAATGTTGACTTTGGGAATGGTGTGCTTCTCTTGCTTGAACTGTTGTTCTACCAGCTGTGTTGTAGTGGCCAGTATGATTGTGGGTTGTTTCACATAGCATGTGTGGGTCTGTCCGCCAGTCAGGGTCTTCGTCGCCATTTCCGTTTCCAGTCGCTCCTGTTTTATCAGGCTCATTTGTCGTTTTTCTGTTGGCATTGTTGTGGTTGTTGCTGTTGCTGATGTTGGTGCTGTTACCGTGGTCATGGTCAAGTCCAGTGGATTGCAGCTCTGGGCAGGGAACAACTCAGTGTCCATTTCTAAATTAAAAAGAAATGAACATTTCTAAAACTTCTTTTCTAGTTGAGACAAAATCTAAATCTAGCTTGGGTTACATCAAAATCAATGCAACCAAAACATCTTCAACTTTGCTTCATAAAATACCATTTAATAGTAGTCTAAGTGTGATTCAATAAAAAGCATTATGCTAATTACATAAAAAGTTTTTTACCATATGGGTTCACATAGTTTATTTAATGGAATACTTAACTACCATAAAAGTAGCATGTAGTTAAAGAAATCGGTTTCATATTTTTAATACCTGTACTTATTAAAATCATATCTTCTTAAGACATATCTACAGACAATAGCAGGCTGAGAATCATGGGGAGAAAACTGTTAATAGCAAAATCATGATGAAAGTGTAGGTCATAGTAATGGCAATTCCAAATCTAACATAAGGTGAGTAGCAAAGCCATCTTTTATCTAGTCTGTCTTCAGCATGCCATGGACTGGGGACCACAACAACTGGATCCTGTGTTCTAGGCCACATAATAGAACAGTAACACACTAAGTAAGACTTGATGGCACCTACACATGCTACATGTGCACTTCACAAATACCACTGACTGGCCATGCTGTTTGTTCAGCATGCAAGTGGGAGAAACAAAGCCTAGCCTGTGTATGAATAACCACTAATGTTCTATTATTTCATCACCTGTGTAATGTCACTACAGGTGGTTCACTTGATTATACAAAGATGATAATAATAATGACCCCTTAATTATAATTACAGGACCCCCATATCTATCCACTCATTAATAAGGTAGCAAATATAGTCTTCAATTAGATTGCAGATTATTTGTGTTGTCTGAGTGAAAACCTACCTAAACTTGGCCAGGGATCTATATGGTCAATGAACATATGCTGGCTCTTATTTCATTTGGATATTAGAATTTCACTTATCAACAACCATTAACTATTTCAAACACCAAAACACTTTACTTTGTCTCTGGAACATAATTGATGGAAAAAGGAAAACTAGATTGAAAGACATATCTGATATACAAATGCTATCATAAGTAATAATATTTAGAGATGAAAGATATAGGCAAAAGAAAATGGTAGCGAGTGCCTTTATCAATCAGTGCTTACCTTTGTAGTCATTTCTGAGTGCAGATTCTCCATCTTGGGTATCATTCTTGGACATGGAGTAGCTGTGCTCGTTTGCGATGTGGGGAAGTTCAGCAGCCTCTGTAATCATCTTGTCATTTAACACTGGGTCTTCAAACAGTCTGTTCAACCATTCTTCATCTTCCATGTGTCCATATGGCCCACCCATAGTTTGCTGGAAATAATGAAACTCACTGTATTCAACTCATTTTAAAATAACTTATTAATTTTATAGTAAACATGTAACTTTTAAATTCTTCAAAACTTTCTCAATCTCTAAAAAATTTTTAAAACATTCAAGACTTATGTTTGTTTGCCTCCCTTAATTTAAAGAGTTGGGTTATTTAGTTTGGTTTGTATCTGCTGATGAAGAAATGACAGGGTGCTTATTTAAATACAGCAATTAATCAATCTTTTCAACAGGGAGAATTTTTTAATTTTACAGATACTGTATTTTTAAAGTTATAATTTCTTAAAATTACAGCATTCCTATTCAGTGGTAGGAATAAATTAAAAAGTAGGCCACTCTATAGCTCTATTCTATGCAGTAAAAGCACCAAAAATGCTACACAGAAATATAATTGTTGTGATTAAAAAATTTTGAATCTGAAAGTTTGATAATCTTGGCCCATTGAAAAGATCCAAGTCATTAATGTTAATAATCCAACTTCAATAATCTAAATTCAAGTAAAAAAATCCTATGCAGGATTAATATTCACCATTCAAAGCTGTATAACAACCATCAAATTTTAATATTTTATAACTGTATCATGACTTATAAATGATTTGAAGAGTGACGCATGCTGTGGAAAAATACAATGTCATATCATGATGCAAGAAAAGTCTGCACAGATAATAAGAAATTCAATTTTTACTAAGTTATCTTTTTCATTGTACTTATATGTAGAGAATTCCCATTAACTCTTTAATGCATGAATTATTCAACTATTGCAACATAAATCACGAAGTTGTAACTTAGCTAACAGATATCAGCACAGAAACAACTTCCTAAGCCTGGGCCCTAGGCCAGGGGAGAAGTTGGCATGCTAAAAGATGGAATAAACCTTCACCTTCAGAACAGATGGAATTTGTGTACACCTGGATATTATAAGTCCCTAGTTAACAGACACAGCTTTCATGCCTTATCTTTCAGGTGGGGGATATATGATGAACATTTTGGATATCAAAACAGTGCAATTTCCTTTACTTTCTAAGCAGTGTGTTTCAGAGTTTATCCAGTAATCGTGTCTTTATCATCAGTTTATCCTGGACAGCTGAGCACAAATTGAATGGTTTGAGTTAAAATTAGACCAAACAAATTTTCAAGCAAACATTCTAACTCATGTTATCAGTGCTTAAATATTTGGGTTCCTAAAATATCAGCTATGCTTTTTTCTGTCCAAGTTGATGGCTGTCACAGATAACATAACAGCTTCCAGACAACTTGTGCTGGATCCTGGACCCCAGGAGACAGACCAAGGACATTGAATTGGGATTGTGTTCAAAATCTGTCGATATTGTTTCTCTTGTCAATACTTTACAATAGGCTTGTTGTTTACCAGTCCCCATCAGTATCACAACCGTCTCCACAACAAGTAAACAAGACGCCACTTTACACAGTTCCATTGTGCACCCAGCATTGTTTGTCCTCAAAAGTTTAACTGGTCAATATGATTCCATGATGACAACAGAGATAAAGTCTGATGACTATCTCCCTTCAAAAATTATCTCAACTAGATATATCTTTGCTTAAAGGGAAGGGGGTTTTATGCAAGCTTTCTGTTATCATTTTTACTAGGAATCACAGAGTAAATGGAGCCCAGATTCAATGAAGTGACAAGCTTTACAATACCATAATATGTCCTAATAGTGGTTATCTCCTGACACCCTGGTGTGAACGTTTGTCTAGACATGTACAAGGTGCAAGAGGAACAATAAAGGTATTCAGGAATCAAAAGAACAATTAATGAATAGAATAGTAATTAAAGGGGGTGACCTAACTCACCTGAGGGTCTCCTGAAGAAATTGGCTATTATGTTGGCTAATTAGGAGTAAGGCATTCTGATCAAAGGTATGCTGTGTAGAAACAGTCTAGATCCATTTTATAAAACTCGAAGATCACTTAAAAACCTTATATCTAATTCATAAAAAACAGCACATAACAGGGGCATTGTACGCAATGAGTAATTGCATTGTGGATGGAAGTTTTTCAAACCACCATGTGACTATGCTATGGGGCAAAGGTTTCTACATACTTGCAAGTGATCACATCTACAGTGTACCAAGCATATCCTGTATGGATATCAAAGCTGGCATTATCATTATTACTACTGTCCTCAGGCTAGGGAACTAGATCCTACTGTACATATTGTTTGGGATTCCTGTAACCTCCCTTGAGACTATGTGAACCTAACCAACTGTTAGAGCCATCTAAACTATATCTTCAACATATAGGTTATTTACTTACATTTTCAGTAAATTATACCTCAGCCTATCAAAAAGCAGATAGGATACAAATATATTAGCATGCCGTTATTCTCATCTTGTTCAAAATTTATTAACAAATGGTGCATCAATCTCAAAGATGTTTTGCACAAAAAATTGTCCTAAGTTCATAATATGAAATCTATGATAAGAAAGGTGTTATCTCTAAATGCATCTATCTTTTATTACATCTAAACCCTTCTAGCAAAAGTATCGTTTATCATAGGCATTTTCGTACAGTGTCAGATAGGCATCATCCAGTTCAAAATAAATATCCCCATGCTGACAATCATTATACATAACTTCAGAAACCCACCCCCTTTTTTTTTCAAACAATAACTTACTAAATTTCAACAAACACTTTTCACCTTAGATACCCATTTAATACACGAGTGATTTAAATTATCACCACATGCACCAAGTGCTTGTTTAAAGCAATGGCTATCACTATAAACTTCTAGTATTCTGCAAGTGTGTTTCTTCACAAGGGTGAAGTATATTTTGAATGACTGACATCTGTTTTAAATTTGAAACCCTATACTTTTATTCTGTAACCATTGCATCAGCTAAACCACAGACCCAGGAGAAGTGGATAAACTGAATGAAATTTCAAACATTAACCTACTGATGTAAAAGAAAATGGCATTGTTTCAAAGTTAATCATACAAGCTAATTGGGTTCCCATTAACATATCATGATAGCATATCAGACCTAAATCTTCTGGAGGGAAAACATGTGAGTAAGAAGATATATCAAACATCGGCATCATTCTGCACTATATACATGACTGTCACCCTATAATGATGAGCAATTACATCTGTAGTCTGTACCTCTATTGTACTCCAGTGCAACATGATCCCTGTAAGGCTGTTAACATACCCAACACTTGGGCAACACCCAGCAATACCTTTTCAACTGAGGTAAACATCCCCGTTCATAATTCATAAAATCTGTCAACAAGATTACTACAATGGTATCCTAAGGGGTGACTGGGTTTGGTCCTTAAACATTGACCAGTACTAGCGTCACATCAGCTGACCACACCCCCTTAGGTTTTTACACCTGAGCACACTGTATGACAGACATTATTTATTCATATGGAAAAAAATGATGTAATATTTATTAATATCAAATCCTATTAGACAATCATATAAAAATCTTTGCCTGGCGTATCAATTGAAATACGGCAATTGGACTTCGGAAAAGAAACAGGATGTAAAAACAACAGGCACATGTCATCAGTAAACATATTGTATGGATTTAGTTAACTTCATTTCCGATTTTCAAGTAAAATATTTACATTTCAAGGTAAAGACCTTAGGCCCTCTTGTCCGGACATTCATATAAGTTTGTCATATCTAACTCAAAGTCCACAAAGTGGACAAACTTGGGGCAATATGGTTTGAACCAAAGGTCACATAGAAACATGGACTCACCAGTGAAGCCGGGGAATCAAAAACGTCATCGTTGTCCAAAAACTGTCCAAGGTCGCTCTCCTCGAGCTCCGAAAGTCTACGATCGGAGCAGAAGGAATCCATTATGGGCGATCTGAGCCCGGTATACCGGTGTCTGTGACTTCTAATTACAAGTAATTACCATTCGAACAGGTAGTGTCTACTCTGTTCAACAGTCACAGCTGTGAGTGAACGAATCGCATGCACATAGGGAATACCCAGACCGCAGCACCGCCGAACACCGAATCCTGTCGCGAACACCTGTAGAAAAGTAAATCTGCGTATGACAGCACTTCGCACCTATTCCTCCACCACTTTTAATTTAATATGATCTTCGCTTCTATTATTATTGATGTTTAATATATCCAACCATACAGAATCGAGTTGGAAGTGCAACTTTCTGACAAGTTTAGAGGCTTATCTCACGCGCACTGATTTATAAATAGCTGGCCAGGCTGAAAGAGCCACGTCGACAAATACAGTGACTAACCAATCACAGGGCGAATTCGTGACTTAATTACGCTTGGAAAACAACGTTGAGCAGGGTAGCTTTCTTGATCAGATCATAGTCTTACCATGGGTTGTTTTGACTGTTTGAAAGGATTGTTTTAATTTGACTCCTGTCTGTCCAGTGAATGTTAAAAATAAAAACATACAATTTCTGCCCTTAAAACCTATTTGAAAGGTTTATTAAATATTTTAAAGAAATTTAGCGTTTTTGCTACCGCCGTAGCAAATGACTAATTGTTATTAATATTATAGTAGACCAGTTGGTTTCAGCCGGGTTGGTGTGGAGTGATAAAAAAACGACCAGTTTATTTTGCATACTTTTATTTACAGCAGTAACAAATAACGCAATTGATCACATAAGGTTATTATCAAAGGTTGCGCATCAAATATTATGATACAATCATCTTATCCCAATAACTGAATTTTCAATTTTGAGAGAGAAATTTAAAAAAAGAAAGAAAAAAGCAATTAACACGCACTTCCCCTTCTCCAGAAAAAAAACATTAGGAGAAAATAAAGAAAGAGAATCTATTATAGATGGGATAACAGACATGTTTAAATAATATGAAGGATTCTCTCGTTTCCTGGACATTTCCAATGCAAAATTGTTACAGTTATAACTTTAACTTATATGTCATTTCCTTAATTAATTCCATTAACCTTAAAATCAGAGAGAAAAGTTGATATCTTACACTTGAAAAAAAACAAAAAACATCGACTTGACTGGGTAGCCGCAGAAGACCTGCAGCCATTGCGATAGTTGAGCAGTCTTATTTTGTTCCAGTCACAGACCAAAGAGGGATATCCACCTCTTTGCACAGACAAACAAAGGCAAAAGACAGTTATATATACCATAAAACTGTCTTATTTTCTAGTAACACCAGAAAAATGGCAAAACTATAAGCAGGCCACGGTGTTGGGAGATTTTTCAAATAAAATACCAATGACGACTAATGTATGAAGTATGTCACTAAAACTACAGTATATGTCGAGTCGAGGGCGTCACTCGTCAGCGGACGCAACGGAAAACAACTTACGCCACTCCACCCGGTCCTGCATCCGTGTTTTAACTATTTTGCTATATCATCAGACTCAAACACTGCATCCAAATGTCAAATCTGATATTTTGAAAATTGACAATTCCCATCATGTTTCGCCAGACAAAACTGGGTATATTTCCCCTTTACAGCGGCGGATCCAGTATTATTTGAAGTGGGCGGGGAGGGGGGGGGTCCGAATTTTTAGGGATGATTGGCCTCGGATACTCTCAGCCTCAGCCCCCTTGTGGTGGGGATCAGGGCCCGCTGAATAACTCTAAAATATAATGGTGTTTTGGAGGGCAAATGGTGTCATTTGGAACGGTTAAGAACTATAAACAAGCTAGTCAAATTTTTAATTTCAAATGGAAAATATCAGTGTGATTTTTTTTCAGAAACTGAAGGGAGGGGGGGGGAGCAGCACCCCTCGACCCCACCCTCTCTAAATCCGCCACTGCTTTATAATGCCTTAATTTATAATAATGACTCGTGTAGCCTGACCCATACTCATACAATTGATAACCATATGCATAAAGATTAGATAATTCTCAAGGTGTAATAAAGTTTAAAAGATAGTTCGCGATCAGGAAGATGTTGATTTGCTTTTCCTTTTGAAACTCCTCCGAATGCTGGAAAACAGGCGTCTGAATCCAAACTGGCGATTTTGTGGTGCAAATTCTGCCGATTTTGATAGGCTTTCATCGATGTATACTTCCTTTGTAACAGTGCCCGTTGGCAAGCTTTGAACAAATTGAGGGGGGGTTTCTGTGTCGTGTCCTTGTAGAATGTCGTCAGGTTTGTCGTTACGTTCTGTTGCAGCATCTTCTGCTGCCGCTTGTATTTGGATACCAGTTCCACTTGAAGCTAGGGGATATTACAGAATAGAATGACAACTGACTGATAATTTTAAGAATTTTCCTCTTCCAAAAGACTCATTCTTTATACTTTCCATAAAAACTAATATGAACATTTTGATAACTCTTTGATCATCATAATCATCATCATCATCATCACCATTATTATTATTATTATTATTATTATTATTATTATTATTATTATTATTATTATATGTTGGGAGGAGTAGAGGTAAATCGACATCCTTTCTCTATTTACATCTAAACACAGTACGACAATCCCGTTATAAGCGTAATAAGAATAATGATGGGTTTACCTGTGAGGGGAGGGGGGGGGGGTAGGCCCCCTATAAGTAGAATATAAAAAACAAAGTCAAAAAACTATTCACCTGTTAATAATTTTTCTTTGATATGATTCTGTCCGCTTGATTCCAGTGCATGTAGAAAGCACTCGAATGCACGGTGGTTGAGCTTTGGCAGCTCATCTAAGAGTAAATCAATTTTGTCGCATCTTGATTCTGGATACTTAATACGCTCTGCCTGCTTTGAACTCAGGACACCATCATTCTGCAGATAGGTGAGCAACAATGTGACCTCCATTAGGTTGTTTTTTAGGAAGAGGAGGTTATTTTTAATTATCGCCTGGTGTTCTTTTGTCATCTGTGGTTCTGAAAATGATGTAAATTTTAAAAAATGAAATTGAAACTGAAGAGACGTAATTTTCCAACATTTAAGGTTTTATTTTCCCAAAGAGTTGCACTACAACTTAAAACCGAAATCAGATGGATTTTTAGATATGCGATATTGATAATTAATAAAAGTATACAAAAATTCCCTCTGGAATGATTCGTTTCACTTTATCAGGCATGCACAGTATAAATAGGTTTATATCTACCTAGCAATCTAGCAGCATCTATCTCATTCAAGGCCTCTTCCAATTTCTCTTTTGTAGCCTCTCCACTACTCGACCACTTCCCGAGCAGACGCCAAACCACTTCTTCGTTGCCAAGTGTTTTATATGTCTCCCAGATGTTTGCACTTACGTCTTCTGGGATCCCCAAAGCCCGAGCAAGAGATATACTGTCGTTTCCTAACGATAAGAAGTAAGATAGTTGGACTGAATACGAGTTCCAAGTTTCCTCGGATTCAAACGCACATGACTTATACAGTGTAATGTCAGAGAACAATCGCAATTTTGAAATTGCAAATACTTACACGATATTTTCAACGCTTTTTAAACAGGGGTAATTCATGTACGCACAAACATGATTGTCAAGGTACCAAATAAATCCAACAAGTTTATACAAGGATTTAAGGCCTCCGGCCCATGATTTACATTACAAAAAATAAGTAAATAATAATAATAATAATAATAATAATAATAATAATAATAATAATAATAATAATAATAATAAAGATAATGATGATGATAAAGCAAATAATAAATAAAAATGAAAATAAATAAATAAATAATAAAAAGTTGCATAAATAGTTACAAGAATGTGACGCCCCAATCATGACCCAAACATTGAAAGAATTACAAAAGTAGTGACAAGTGACTTAAAGGGATAATAACTCTTCGTTTTGGCCAAAAAATTAATTTTCCTGGAGTAAACACCCATTTTCCCATACTTACCAATGGTTAATGAATCCATTTTTACATTCAAAGTTATTCACTGATTTTTTCCAAAAAGTTAGTTTTTTTTTAAATAATCTCTAAGAGATTATAACAGAGTATAGCTATCAATGGAGGTCACGTGGTCTGAAAACAAGCTCAGATATCAGAATAATAGCTATAACTGCCGTTTTTGTGGTACAACAGAATATATTGTATTTCTATGAGTTGATCACAATGTTTTTATTGTGAAACAGATATCTCATACGAAGAGTTATTATCCATTTAATACGTCTTTTAATACTTCTGAATGACTTATATAATATTTCTTTTTTAAAGAGATAACAACTGTTCATATGAAATAAACGTTTCACAAAAATACAGCTCACAGAAATATAATAAATTCGATTTCACCACCAAAACGGCAATTAACGCAATAATTCTGGAATTTGGGGTTTCCATCACATCACGTGACCTCCAACGATGGTTACATTTTGAGAATATTACGAAAAAAAAAACTGTTTAGGAAAAAAAAAAAAAAACAGGGACTAACTTTGAATGTCGGGATGGATTCATTAACCATTGATAAGTACGGGAAATTGTCCTTTACCCCAGGAATTTTTTTTTCTTTTTTTTTTTTTTTTTTGGCAAAATGGTAAAAAAAGGTACCAAGGAGTTACTTTACATAAAAATTAAAAAACTTTGCTTACGTTATCACACCTAGCCTACTTGCTACGGAAGAAAAATATGGTCTCAGAGGAAACGGTATAGGTGCTTGTTGCGACGATATTGGAGGTACATGTGGATCTCCGTGTGCACGCAGTCGGGACAAGACTTTTCCGGTATTTTCCTCCAGCGCATTTTTGATATCGGCTGTCTGTTGTCGATTGTCGTCTTTCACAGAGTATGCCATATCCATGAGCATTTCATAAATTATGTCTGCATCTTTCGTATTTTCCTAAATTCATACATCGAGAGCATGATATCAATATGTAGAAGGATACTAAATGTATATGTTGAACTTACAATCATGGGCGCATGGATTTAAAATAGGTTAAGTTGCAATAGAATAAATGGAAAAGTACGTAACTCCCCCTTTACGAAAAAGTTACGCAAGGAAATTATATAAGAAAACCATTCACAATTTTTAGTGCTGCATGTGCGTACTACTAGTATTTGCATTTGCCATTCACTGTCGGTGTCTGTAAAACTAGGATCCATGATACCTTCTATACTAGTGTCCAAATAGAGACGCCCTACCTTTGTTCTCTCATCCAGTATAATTTTATCTTTTTCTGAAATCTTTTGGTTTAGGGAATCTGTTAAATCACTTAGCTCTCTAACTTTATCCTTCAGTGTTTTGTTTTCATTTTCAGTGTCACGTAGTTTTTGCTCTAATTCAAGCTTTCCATCGAATGATGTCTGCATTCTTTCCTTGAGTGTGTTAAATTCCATTTTCATTTTTTCATTATCTTTTAACAAAAAGGTCGTGTTCTTACGTAATGCCTCGTTTTTTAACAAATGAGCGTCTGCTTCGTTCCTCACCTCTTCTAGAAGTGTCTGTAGTTCAGTTACTTTAAATTTTAGTTTTTCCAGTAGATCATCTTTTTGCTGCAACTCACGCTGTTGTTTCTCTATATGGGAATCTTTATCGCACAAATTCTTTGTGTAATTTGCTTCTTTGATTTCCAAGTCAGAAACTGCTGCATGTGCTGCTTTCAACTTCAGTAGTACACACTCTTGCTCCTTTCTTAGTTCATCTAAACAATTATCTTTTTGATGTATTAATGCTTCACATTTACGGCATCTTTCTTTTAACAAATCCTCATTTGATGTCAATGCTTCAAGATGCATTGTCACTTCCTTACACATTGCACAGCGCACATTTGAACTCATTTTGGTTTCTCGTAAATAGTCACATTTGCAATATCTCTACGGGTGTCATCCACATGGACTACACTGAAGGATGAAAAAATAGTTGAATATTAAACCATGCCTATCACGGGCAACATAAGAAACATCGTTCACAAAAACAACAAATGACCTTGACCATAGACTGCACGACCTTCTAAAACAAGACAGATTGACACATATTCACTTCGGATTTGTGAGGCATGGATAATTTAATAAGAAGTGCACCAGTTGACTGCATGTTGAACTTCAATATATTTTAGCCTTTATGTTTTTATCTTTTTTTTTATTTGGGGATTTTATCTATGTTACCAACTTCTATCAGTACTCTTATTACAATTAATTATTAATCCCATTGACCCCAAACTATGTCGTTGTCTGTGTATTTATCCAACTCTACATGGAACAAGCTGCATTTGTTAAATATTAACCCCTTAATTTTGTATTTTCGTGGATAATGCAATAGTTTAACGCAGGAGCGGATCCAGGATTATTTGAAGGCGTGGGGTTCGGGGCCCCGAATAAATTGTATTGTAGAGGGCGAATGGTGCCATTTGGTACGGTTTAGAACTATGATTTAAACTAGAAAAGCACTCAGAGAGCGCAGACCTCCGCCAAGGCAGCAAAGTCTCCATCAAATGCCGTTTCACCCCTAAATTTTCGATATTTTTGATTATTGATTATTAATAGATTATTGATCCGGATCACCACCTAAAACGAATCATCTGTTCCTTGGCCCACTTCTGACAGTTCCTGAAAATTTCATCAAAATCGGTCCATAACTTAGTTTTTTTATTATTAATAGATTATTGATCCGGATCACCACCAAAAACGAACCATCTCTTCCTTGGCCCACTTCTGACAGTTCCTGAAGATTTCATCAAAATCGGTCCATAACTTTTTGAGTTATGTTGATGACAGACAGACAGACAAACAAACAGACAAACAGGGGTTTGGCGGAGGTAATTATGATTTCAAGAGGGAACCATTGATGTGATATTTTTTCAGAACTCGAAGGGGAGGGTCAGGACCCCCCTAACCCCCCCTAACTCCGCCACTGGGGTAACGTTAAAAAACTGTGTGATATCTCATATGACGTTACCTATTGATGCAACGTACCAAAGGATGGGTTAAATGGAAACACAACTCAGAATTTTTAGTCATTTATGAACACATGTCAGTCTATAACAGACGGCATCATAATTCTCTTTACACGTCTTATTACTCTTAACCTCACATGATGAGGCTAGCGCCACGTGACGGGGGGTGCGTACATACATTGTAGTCCAAAGGTTCATTGGTCCGGAAAATCGTAAAATTTTCATCAGTTTTTTTTTTTTTTTTTTTTTTTTTTNTTTTTTTCTTTTTTTTGATAATATTGTTTGTTGGTCCTAAGTTCTATAGTGAACATTCGGACCAATGAACCCTCCCCTTTTTCACCTTAATGTATATACACCATATGTACCTTATTGGTCTGGGGAATAGATACCTGATCTCTGAAAAACGAAACACGGCGTCATGTAAGTAACTTATTAAGATCGTTTTGTGCATTTTAAGAGTAATCAACCGACCACGGTGACGACAGAACGCCGGGTTATTGAATTGACAACAAAGGTCGTACCAAACAAATAACACAAAATTAACTGTTAAGCTACTCACTTCTTCTCCCTCGTTTGCCACTTCTCATCTACCTGACTAAAGGGTCTATCATTTCTGTATAATGGATAGTCCCCTGTGGCATCATTTTATGACATAAATGATAAGCACGATAATGATTATATGCCTTATCATACATTTATAATTCCCAAAAAAGACGATATCTAAGTCTTAGTTAATATATAATGTACCTTAGGCCTACTNTATTTCTTGTCACAACCCTGCATACTCTCTTCTTTGAGTCCGTAAGGGTTGATCCCGATGGTCAGCTCAAATTTCTCCTTATATCTATCCTTTATGTAAAAAGTTGCTTCTATGAAAGGTTGAACTTATGATTACACAGTAAACTCTCTAAAACTAAAACTGTTATTATCCAATGAACAAGAAAAATGAAGTACAAGATAACTGAACTAGCTTCTGACAATTCCACGATGTTGGGATACAGGGGTAGGTCAGGATTTCACGTCTTTGGACTGTCTTGAGTTTATATGGGTCGATCACGCTGATTAGCTGAAGTTTTCACATGTATATACACTTTTCCTTTTGGTGCACTTGATCGCGATATGAAGATTATTTCATTTTATTTGGTTCACCTATATTTACGCTACTATTCCCCGTCGTTCTTTCCCTCCAGTATGGCCGCTGGACGAGTGTTACGGAGCAAATATGACGTCACTGTAATGGGTTATAGTACCTTAGGCCTACTTATATTAATGTATAATGAGTTGCATTATTGTGAGGCCCAGAGGCGGATCCAGGATATATTGAAGGGGGGTCTGCGGATGCGAAGCCGACCCTTCCCCTCCCCCCCTCCCTTGGTGCGGGGTTCGGGGCCTGCAGAAACGGGGGTCCACGAAATTTTTTGGTATTTTAGAGGGCGAACAGAGATAATGTTGAGGAATTGTGTTAGTTGTGATATATAGACCGAAAAGACATTACACGTTAGATGACACTACCCATCCTGCAACCTAACAAGACGAGACGAATTCGAAAGTTAATAGACTGCAATGGATGACAGTTCAGCAGGAATCGAAAAGAAGATATTAGCATCCGGGAAAGGATCCCTCCCAGCGTTTTCAAATGGAGCTAAGGTTTTCAATTTTGAAAGTGACTTTTTATCCCTCTCTCTTTCTCTCTCTCTCTCTCTCTCTCTCTCTCTCTCTCTCTCACACACACACACAAATAGCACACAAACACACACTTCCATATTTATTAGCATTCTGTACACGCCAATGCACACGAGAAAGGTGAAGGGTTAATCTGAATACTACCAAGGAAAAATATTCATTATAATATTGTTTAAATGTTTTTCTAGGTTTTATACTCTTTAACGATTTTCAGACACAGTTTCATTACAAGACCTGCAAGCTTGACGATGACAAAACAGTGATAGATGACAGTCGGAAGCTGATGAAGAAACCAATGGAGCTGATCATTGGGAAGAAATTTAAGTTGGAAGTGCTGGAGGCTTGTGTCAAAACCATGTGTGTGGGCGAAGTAGCACAGTTCACAGTTGCCAAACCTGTGAGTTTGTTTCATTACTGCCATAAGCATTGCATTTTATTCAATTCAAAATTTGGCGTCTAAAGAGTTATTGGTAGAGGATATCTCTATGGTACATGTATTACAGATAATAAATCCTGAGTTCACTGATATGATAATGTTAATATATTCTGAGTCATATAATTGTAGCAACTATGCACAATTTAGACAGCTAAGTACATGTAGAAACCAGTAAATAAAGGTTGTATTTCACTAAAATTTGGTTATGACTATGGAATATCAGAAAATTATCTTTAATGAATTTTTTTTTACAAGTAAAGAAAATATTTGGGTTTTCATAGTGTAGTGGTGATATGCATCCTTTGTGATAAGTAATCCGTGTGTTTCAGCTCCTGACTCAGTACCCTCTGGTATCAAAGCAGCTACGTGAAATCTTTGGAGAGAAGAAGAAAGGTGCAGACCACAGCCATCACTGTTGTGGAATGATGCAGTTGCAACAGGACCAAGGACTTGGATATGCTGATTTGGACCAACTTATGAAGGAACCACAATCTCTACAGTTCACAATAGGTATTAATTGGTACCAATAAATCTCCAAATAATTATCCATTATAATAATTATTTTGAAAGCAGCAGGTATGTACATGTATGAAAGGAGTACACGTAGCTGAAAATGAAAAATTGATATTCCTATGACTGCCAGTCAGTAGGAAAATATCACCAGCCTGACAGTTTTCTGAGGGCATCCACTGCAATAATGGATGTAATGTAAAGGATTTCTCCTAAGATTTATCCCTCACCTGCTTTTTGAGGTAGCTGCATGTACAACCTTTTCAATTCAAAGTAGGTACAGTACATGCTGTGTATTTGGGGCAGAGCCTTTTTATTATTTTTTTTATGTTTGAGGGGGGAGAGGTATGCATGCCTAATACTCCCACTCAATACTTCTATAATGGCTATTTTATCTACCACTGCATTTTTGAAATTTGAAAATAACCTTTTCAGAACTTCTGAAAGTGGAGGAGCCTGGAGAATATAAAAAGGAGACTTGGGTTATGGATGAGCCAGAACAAATTGCAGCAGTCCCACAGTTAAAAGATGAAGGGAATGCATTATATAAAGAGAAGAAATATAGTGAAGCTTCTGCCAAATATGGGCAGGCCATAGGAATATTAGAGCAGCTGTCAATGAAGTATGTCATTAAAACTATATGGAAGAATATACATATCATTGGGTGGCTTGGTTATTTTATTTTCAGTATTAACATATCTGTTCCCTACAGAATAACATCTAAATGTCTATCTATTTTTGAATCGGTGTTCCTCTTTACAAAAAAAGGGTTCAATAACTAACTTTATGTTGTTGTAATTCAGAGAGAAACCACATAGTGAAGAGTGGAGTGAGCTGCAGGACAGAAAAATTCCATTCTTATTGAACTATTCACAATGCCTTCTTTTGCTTGAAGATTACTACCCTGTAATAGAGCACACCACTACTGTGTTAGAGAGGGATCCTGGTATGTATGGCACACAAAACATGTTCACGGCTGCTGGCTGGACACATTAAAACCTTTGATAGCATATAACTGATAAAGTTTAGAGGACCACATAACATACAAAGCTCAATCACATCTTAGAACTTTTAATTCCATGATGCACAATCTGACATTTGTTATATTTTCCCAACTCTTAGTACATGTCATAAAAGTTTCAAATAGCTGGCACTGCCGAGTTTGGCCTTATGGTTTAAATTTGGCAATGAACAAAGTTATTGGATCATGTCATCCTGGTTTATACATGTAGCATGTGACTGTGGCACTGTGAGCCAGTTTTGTATGTGTATAAAAAAAGGAAATGCTTAGGTTTCATGGATTCCAATGATCAAACTTAAGATTTACCTATTATTACATGTTGTAATTATGGATGCATTGTGTCAGTTCAATTTTTAGAAAACATTTACATTTTAGTTCACATTCAGAGCACTTGTATTTATTTTCAGGTAATGTGAAGGCATTATTCAGAAGAGCCAAAGCACATGTATCAGTATGGAACTTTGATGAAGCCAGAGCAGACTTTCACAAAGTATCAGAGCTGGACTCTACACTTAACTCTGCTGTGAAAAAGGAATTAAAATATTTAGATGATTTGCAGAGAAAAAAGGATGAAGAAGACAAAGCGAAACTTCAAGGAAAAATGTTTAGTTGATGAAGGATAAACTGTAATGGAGGAGCTATTTTGATAACACGAACTCAGAGATTTACCATCATTTGTTGTAAAGTGGGTTCAGTGAAGACACCATCTCATGACAAGTGTTCCACCTAGCAGTGCATACTTAGTTACATTCTAAACACAATGTTGAATTAAACAGCCTGCAAGTGCTCTTGTCCATGATTACTGCATCGAAGGGAGACTAAGATTCTCTGTGTACAACAGATTTTGTTTAAAATGCACACAGGTCTGTTGTAACTTTGTATTGGTAGTATTTTATGCCATTTCAATTGAAAAATAGCAATTATAGTTAGGACATGTGTACAAATATGTGTATTTATTAGTGAACCTTCATAGCCTGAGACTGCCAAAGTTTACATGTTCAGATCTGAATGTTTATCTGTTCACAAGGCATTTGAAGGGTAAGATAAGCAAAAAAAAAAAAAAACTCTTAGACCCCATTCCCATAGATTTTAGATCGATCTATCCCTGTGGGGAGTCTCACTAGATTACTGTCAGCTTAGCCGGCTTAAGCGTCTGTCCCACCTACTAAAAGCTGTAAGGGGTTAATTTACTATGGTGGGCGCTTAGCTGACAGCAATTTAGCGTGAACCCCCAGGAAGTTAGGTCGATCTAGTTGGATCGATCTAATCTCTGGGAATGGGGTCTTACAGTAAATACTGTTGTTTAAGAGAGGCAATGGAAGTAAAAGCTTGCTGAATACAAAACTTCATTTCACAGTAACAAGAAGTGAAGTATTTTTTTTAAATCTAAGCTGGGTGCCAAGTTATAATGAACCACCAAAAATAGGAAAAACTTTTTTCAAAAATTGGGAAAAAAATAGGGATTTTGTTGCAAAATTAAAGCAAAAATAGTAATTATAAAGTCTCCAAACATCTTAAATCCATACTGGTCTACCATGTCTTTCCTTATAACACATTATTTCAACAACAATTAATCATTAAAAATTAACAAACTTCTAAACAAGAACATGAAGTGCAAAGTCTCTATTTAATGCTTTAACCGTAACATTTCTAAATTTCAAAGGAACATACATTTCATACATTGTACTCATGTAGTCAATACAATATAATATATATGCATAATGATATATTATGTCAAAATTTAACATCTAACGTTTTGGCCTTTTTTGCAGATGAACAATTAGGCTTTTTATTAGACTTTTTTTGTCCCCACTGCTGTCTGTTTTGCTGGGATGGCTTTTTTCAGCAACTTGCATGTCTTGTTGTCAAATGACCTATGTTTGCCTTTAATTTCAAGGTGCTGTATCTCCTGTATCCCCTCAGTTTTGGGGATACCAAGCAACATGGTACCAAAGTTAACACTTCGTTAACATCTTTGCCAGAGAGAGCTTCATGCAGCTTGGATGTAGCATTATTAAACAGTTCATCTGCAGCACTCAACTCTTGCCTTACTGTTAATTTCTTTAAGGCAAAAATCACCATTTTGTGCTAATTTTCCCATTCTTTTTTTTATGCAATGTTGTTGTTGTTTTTTTCTACTTCTGATCTGTTTACTCTCTCCATTTCCTGGGCTTTTCTTTTTTCCCCTTCCAGCCCAAGCCTTTCCTCCCCCAGTCTCACTCAGTGTGTTACAAGGGCCAACCTGACTGATAATTTCAGCTTCTTTGAGACTGGTAAATACTCAGCCCGTATTATCTCAGGAAAACACTTAAAATGGGTCTAATTACATTTCTAAAAGGCTCTATTATGGCAATTTGTGGTGTTAGTATGCAATTGCCTGGGTATTATGTTGTGTTCTACCAGTAGTACCATTTTCTAACTTTCAGCAATGATGATAATGATTTAAAATTGATTATTTTGTAATGTAGTGTTCAAAATGACAAAAAGTCAAATCAGTGTGTCATCCTTGTGGACATGAAAACTTCAGTTTCTAATTACTGGACTTTTTGTCCCCACTGCTATCTGTTATGCCAGCACGGCTTTTTCCAGCAACTTGTGCATCTTGTTGTCAACTGACCTCCGTTTGCCTCCAATTTCATCATGGTGCTGTGCTGCTTTAACCCCCTTAGCTTTTGTGATGTCAAGTATCATGGTTCCAACGTTCACACTTTGTTTATTAACATTTTTGCCACAGATAGCTTCATACAGCTTAACTGTGGCATTATTAATAAGCAGCAGTTCATTTGTAGCATTTAATTCTTGCCTCGCTGTTGATTTCTTTTCAGCAAAAATCTTCCCCATTCGAATCTGTCTAGTCTAGACCTCTTGTACTTATCAAATATATATGGTTTTAAAAAGTTGATTCATTTCTTTCCATTCCTATATGATAGTATGTGAGATTGATCAGAGATCATATTTGCTCCACAAGCTGAAATTTTAAAGAAGATCATGTTAAACAGCCACTCTGTATTCAAAAACAACTTCTTTTAAACCTTAAAAAAAGTAATTAAAAAGTACCAAGTCACTATTCTGGATGCCAGGAGTCAAGTAAATTGTGAACAGTTCAAAATGTATAGGCAAAAATGCAAATTAAATTTATATAAAATACCCATTTTAATTCTATATCTTCACAATGTTCATTTTAGTAGCCTTGTCTTAAATTATTTTTAGATATTTTATTTAGATTGGTTTTTGCCAGGTTATTTTTAAATTATGTAGTCACACTTAAAAGAAAAAAAGACAAGGTGCTATCAGTAGAGCAGAAAATCATTAAGTTTTTTAAAGCTGAAAAGATTTTTTACATGGAATGTAAATAAACCTACCATGACCTGTATACTTCATCACCTTTATGGGCCAAAAGCAATTTCTTTACTTCTGGTGGTGGATTTAATCCATGTTTTTCTGCTCTCTCCCATCTTTCGAGGCGAGTTACACCTACATATTTATCGTGACAATAATGATTGAAAATGTTTAACATTTGTAAAATATTTATATTCCAAATATATGAAATCAATCTATTAAGTATGTTTAAAAAGGTTGTTTGTAAACAAGAGTTTATATAATAGAAAATACAGTTTAAGTTTAAAGACATCATGTTTGGCTGAGGTACTTTTCCTTGACACTTCTGTATATTTGTAGACACCAAGAATTTGATACTGTAAGGGCATTTACCTGTACAGGGACCAAATTTGAAATCCAGGTCAAACTTGGTGAGGCTTTCCAACTCTTTTGCAGCTTGGTCATTATTTTTTGCCGCCTGAGTGCCTGCAAAAATAATTACATTTACTTAATAGTCAAAATGATTAGACTAAAATGTGGCCATGCCCGTACATTGTAATTTTAATTTAGAAGTAGAAATATCGCTTTCACTTCAGACTTTCGATTTTACAACACTTACTAGTGCTAGTGCTTTTCTTATCGGCAGTGGAACTAGAGGCCTTTTTGGAGTGTGGAAAATAGCCGGTGATCTTCCTGTGTTCCATTTTGCAATATCAGCGATTCTTATGAGGTGTTTTTATATATGTGCTTTTCGTTTGAATTTTTCACGTCCAGGCCTGTCAATGTTTACATCTTTCTGTCGACCAATCATTTCAAGGCAGGGCTGTAAGTAGGTCATTGAATTCCCGCGTGGTGCCACGTAATTTAGAAGTTGACATGGCCGACGGTGAAGAGCCCTTGCCGGTAGTCGCCGTGACTGCAGCGGTAGGAGCTGTAATCATGCTTGTTGTATTGCTGTGCAATGTCTTGAAAAAAGATAAGAAGGATACAGAAGAGGCTGGTAAGTTTGGTGTTAGTACCATCTGTCCTTGTTAAGTAAATTTGCAAATGGCTGTTAATATTCTTACAATTTTGAGATTTACAGTACATGTACACTTGGGCTCTGTTCTCACAACTTTTAGATCGATCTATCACCGCGGGGAGTCTCACTAGATTACTGTCAGATAATCCCCCTTAAGTGTCCGTCCCCACCTACTACAAGCTTTAAGGGGTAATTAACTTTCGTGTCCGCCCGGCTGACAGCTATTTAGCGTGAACCCCCAGGGAGTTAGGTCGATCCAATGTAGGTCGATCTAATCTATGAGAATGGGGTGTAACATTCACGATAAATCTATAGATTCTTTTACCACTACTCCGCTCTGAAGAAGAGACTTGAGCAGAGGACACAATTGGATCCATGGTTTCATTGGAAAGTAGGGGTGAGGTGCCGTAGGTGGAGCTTGGGCGAGGGGGGAGGGTGTAAGCCAGTGTCCTGAGATTACTGATAACAATATCCAGAATGTGATCTACTTTGAATATGACATTGTTTCAGTTTTCTTCATCCTATGCCTAATCCCCATAATAAAACTAAATTTTACTAAGTATCCAATGCAGAAGAAAGTCCTGTAGAAAGTGTAGTATCAATTAAGTGTAAGGGTGCTACTGAGGTAAAAGTCTGTGTATACTTACTGAGGTACTAGTAAGTCAGTTATCTTCATCATTACTTCTCATTTCACATGTCAGTCTCTGCTGTAAGTCCCCTTTTTTTGTGACAATCTGTTTTAATGGCTACACAAATGTAAGTAAATACTATTAATGCCTTTGACTCAGTGCCCCTTCTTCAAAGAATAATTTATTTATTTTAGCTGGAGAAGAAGAGCCACCACAAGACACCAAACAAGATGCCAGCAATAAAGCAAAAAAGCAAAAAGCCATTCAAAGACCTAAGAAAGAATCAAGGGTTGCCTTCACCCACCCATGGTTGTCAACCTCTCTAAAAGGACACAGTGCTCCCATACTTGGGATGGATTTCAGTCCCAATGGGAAATACTTAGCTTCCTGTTCAGATGGTTAGTCAACAGTTGTGTTCTTGCAGGTTTTAAAGTCAAAATTATTTGTTTGAGTGTAACATTAGCCAAGAATATATTCTGAAAATCAGTGCGAGATGTTGTCTGTGCTTTGTGTTGTGCTGCTAGTTTGAATATTATTGCCAAATAATTGACTAAATATTTTTTCTTTTCAATTTTAGACAGAGTGATACTTATTTGGAGTGTGAAAGAATTTTCTCAAAAGGAACACAAGTTAGTAAAAATGCATTCTGACAAGCATTTATTTTTGTATTTATTATTTCACTAATTCTAAGTGCACTATAATATGTACCAAAGAGGTATTTTCAAAAGGAAATAATTGTATGATTTTTGTAAATATTTTTGTCCCTCGACCAAAACAGTTTGGAAACATCATGATTTTGAGTAATTATAAAATAAACATCTGAGCTAAGGAAAATATTTTAACCAAATATTGATGGATAATGCACCTACCATTCATTACTTTTTGAAATTTTGCCAGGAAAGGAACTGTGAATTACAGCAACATTTATGAATTTCATTTTCACAAATCGTGCAAATGGAGTGAATAAGTCTGAAGTTTGCAGTTTTAGCAAGTCTTGACTATAAACAGCAAAAATCTTTATTTTAAGCATACAGTATGAACTTTTTTGACAGAATGAATATAAGTGTAAAAGTAATTCCTGGGTTAAATATTAACATTCAGCGCATTAAAGTCGCAATGGCAAAGAAAAACATTATAATTTTAGATCACATGCAGACACTTATAATGTTGACTAGTTGTATTTCCATGTGAAAGTGAAAGCTACATGAAAATATATATTTGGGTTGAAAGTGTATTGATTACAGAAATGAACAATTATTTCTTATTATGTAGAAAAGTATTGTCCATGAGATTAGAATTCCTTCAGGTAGAATATTTTGCAGCTTTAATTCAAACTCTGAGCCGGTTTGAAATGTAAAATAATCTAAATGATATTATGTATGTTTTATTTGCAGATCCATCCGTGTAAATGTAGAACTGGATCACAGTACACAAATAAAATTTAGTCCCGATTCCAAGTAGGTATTTGCATTTTAAACAAAAAATACCCAAATGGCCAGTAGTGTTTGGTGTCAGGCTTGTCAAACTGCACAATATCATGTATTTTTGAAATGCAAAAGATATGTCTTGGCTGGTGTAAAAACAAATAAACTAAGTAGATGTATTTTGTTTGGATGGACAACTTTCTTTCTTTTTTTTTTTCAAGATATTTATCATTATTGTAAAACCTTTATTGGATGAATTCTCATTAGTCACTTCAGTTCCAGTTGGGAAATTGTATGTTTCATTGCCATTTTCATAAAAATTGATCTGTGTCTGATGTGATATGTCTGATATGACCTATATTTTCAGAGCATTCATAACAAGTTTGTTTGTCTCGAATACTGTAAGAGTGTTTAAGATAGGCAAGAAACCAGATGGGTCTCCTGGCAATGTTACCGCAGTATTAGATTTTCCAAAGGTAATGGTAATAAACTATTTCACATTTACATTATATTTTGTTGTTTTGTTTTTTAAATGATATTTAGTAGAATTTATCAAATAAATTAATAATTATGTAAATCTTACAAGTGTCACATGAAATATTTTGTGATGATAGATTATCACCACATTTTGAACAATATTTTTGTTTGGTCTGTTTGTACACATTTTTTTCTATTGCTATTTTATGTCAATTTCAGAAACATGATGCAGACATATTAAGCATTGGTATCTCTAGCTCAGGGAAGTTCATTATGACCTGCTACAAAGACACAACTATGACAATATGGGACTTAAAAGGTGGGACCTACATGGTATAAATGCCATTTTGTTAATTGTGGGTCAGAGTATGTTTTGAGTGTACAACACCGGATAATAAACTTTTACTTGAGAATATATTCATAGTGAGCTTCTTGAATACAAAGTAAATGTGCAACTGTGCACAATATGTGAGAAATTAAGATTTTATACATTTATTCAGGGATCTAAAGAAGGAAAATATGCTGTAAAAGGAGCTTTACATATTATAAATGTTATTATGTAGTAAAGAGAATTAAAATGTTATTACTTTTATAAGCAGTAGCCAATTTTTGTTTGTTTCGGAAACGGTGATTTTTTAAAAAGGTTGATTATGTTTCAGGTGAAGTTCTTGCCACTATTGACACCCACCAGATGACCAATGCCCATGGTGCTGTATCCCCATGTGGAAGATTTGTAGCTTCATCAGGTAAATCATTTCTCACCATAAACCACTGAAGTGATAATACAATATTACCGAACAGGTTTTTGTAAGGCTACGTAAATATTGAATTAAAAAAATATTATTTTTTGCCCTGGTTAGTGCCCAAAGCAGATAACCCCCACAATCCTGTTGATTTGTTTTTAAGAGCAATTTTTTGGTTGTGATCATGTTGCTATCAGGCTGTTAGTTAACAGTTTAACATACATGATCTATCTTTTGAATTGAGCATATCCTCATACCTGTACTAATAGTGCTAATAAATGAAAATGGATCTTAGAACATTGTTTTCAAAATTATACTAGGTTTCACACCAGATGTGAAAGTTTGGGAAGTTTGTTTTGACAAATCTGGCAATTTTAGAGAGGTGACTCGAGCCTTTGAGTTGAAAGGTCACTCCTCAGGTGTCTACTCATTCTGCTTCAACAGTGATTCAAGAAGGTAAGTATTAATTGTCTTTGTCTACCTTTGGATATAGTTAACAGCTTAAGTCCAGACAGTGACAAAAAAGACAATTTTGTTATTGGAAGGATTACAATTATACAAAGGTAGAGAGGTTTTGGCAACTGTATTTTTGACTTAGTTTTTATGAATTTAAGGTGGGTAACTGTACACCAACATTTTAAGGTGTCTTTTGTCAAAAGCAATTTCATTTATTAGTTAAGCTGATAATTATTTATTTCATCAAGTAACGTTTCTTTTGTATAACAATATTTTGTAGGATGGCTACAGTGTCCAAGGACGGTACCTGGAAGCTATGGGATACAGATAGTAAGTGTTTGGAATTTGGTATATTGTTTGAAACTCCGAAACTTTCACCGCCATCATCAAAGCCAAAGCGATAGATACCAAAGAATTGTACCAATTTATAAAGAAATCTAGATAAGATATTATCTTAGCTGCAGGAAAGGATAGGACTTCTTTCATTTGTTTTCATGTATTGATAAATGCTTCATAATTTTATTTTCACCTTAGTGGTAAAATATTTGCCCTCTCTAAGTGTATTGATTCAATCTGAAATAATTTTAATACAGTTGAATACCAAAAGAACCAAGACCCATATCTCCTCAAGACTGGTCAGCTAGGCTTCACCACACCATCATTGGTCAGTTTGTCACCAGATGGCAGGACAGTAGCAGTGGCCCATGGCAACAGCCTCCAGATATTTAATGGTATCACAGGAGTGCTAGGAAAAGCTATAGAGGATATTCACCATGGTGAGAGGGCCTTTTTTATTTATTGTCAGTCTTGTGTTTCCAAAGAAGAATTGCAATTTTGAGAAAATTGATATATTCATACTCTTCTTGGATTTCCCAAATATTTAACCTTAGAGTCGATTTTATAGCTGGTTGAATACATAATTGGAATTAATTCAGGTATTGTTTTCAGAGCCAATAAAAGCCTTAGGTTTTGATACCAATAACAAGTATTTGGTGACAACTGGTGACAAGCATATCCACGTTTTCCACAATGTTATTGGCTATCAAGCCACTGTCGATGACCTTGTAGAAAAGAAGCAAAAGGCTAAAAATAGTTCACTTAAAGAAAGAATCCAGGAACAGATAGATACAGCTAAGTATGTGGAGTTTTGGTTTTTATATCAAATAAGAGTAGTGAGGCATCTTCTTTTTCTTGTTATGGTAACTTTTTCTTGTATCATTCAGATGATGTTGATAAAATGATTATTTAGTCTGCAGATTTTTAAAATATATGTATCAAGAGATGTGTGTTGGCATATAATTCAAATTGTTGATTCAGACGTAATGATGTTTCTTTTTGTATTTCATTACAGAACAGCACTGAAATCTCTTGGCTTGGAGAGCTAACGTGCGGCCAAAACCAAGTAATGCCAGTCTATGCAACAAATACTTGAGAGCCTAACTGAATATTTTTTTCTAGACTGCTAGCATTTTCTTTTTTTGTCCTTGGTTTTGATGTTTGAATTTAATTTGCATCTTTAAGTATGGCATATAATAAAAATGTTTTGTTCCTTAATATAAGCAAGAATATAAGTCATTCTTGAACTTCTGTCAAGCTGTATGCAGACATTTTTAACAGAATTTAATGGACTGTGGGTATTAATTCACATTCAACTTGAGAGTAATAATGTTTTTCCGAGTAGAAAATGACATTTAATAGACAATAAAGATCAATTTTTTTTCAATATGTTATGTATTCTTCCAACAAAACATTTATATAAAACAATGAACTTGCTTTAAAACCAGCATATGTGTGACAAGAATGTACAAATACAATAAGCTCTTCTATATTTAAACTTAACTGTGAATCAAGCAGTCCTTAACTGGAAAGAAATTCTGCACCTTTAATACTGAAGCTTATTACATTAAATGAAATAGTATTTACAATTTCACAAGTCGCAATTGTGGCCAAGCCAGATGCCTAACCCTAAACATACAATCCACATCTTCCTACAACCTCCCATACATTTTAATCAACAACATTGCACACAAACATTTCAGTAGTTCAATTTTCACTCAAATCATCAAATATGCTTCGGTTTGATATAAGCTTGTGGTGATGTCAATGCCTCCATGTAGTCTACTAAACATTTACTGTTACAAACAGCAGACAGACAACACAATCTCATGCTACATGCACACTGTCAACAGTTTGTAACTAATGGCAACCATAAACTTCCAAGTGTCTGGTTATGAAATTTCTTCCACATATTTATTAAATAGGGCAGTAGTCAAAAATAACATTTATAGCCCTAAATGCAGTAGTTCAGATATAGATTTGGGTAAGGGCAGATGACATTTAATGCTGTTTCATTGGAAATCTACCAAATTAGAAAAATATCTACCCAATGTATGACAAAAAGTACAAAAAGAAAAGACTGCCTTTAGTCTTGTTTGAAATCTCATTAGAGATGATGATGACAGAGAACAGTTGGTTACTTCCAGTTAAAAGTAATTAGTGCATACACAGCATGCAAATATTTCTAGTAAATGATCTGATAAAATGCTAAAGTTAACATTGCATGTTATAGTATAATCTATTCATCAGCTGTAATGTCAAAAAAAATGGCTGTACGTTTTTATTCTTTTTACTAACATGTAGCAGAGGAACTACTTACTAACAAACACTAATATCATTGTTCAATACAGGTAACAAAAACATCACTGAACAACTAAGCTGGATTATCTTGCAATTAGTTTTGCTTAGCTTAACTTTTGAAGGCCCCATAACTAACTGATTCTGTCCAAGAATGTCTTAGTTTATACTGCAAAACACCTAAATAAGTGTATAGTATCACAGTAAATAGTGCTAATAGTTTTGCAGATTAATCTAAAAGTCACAGCCAGTTAGACATAAAAGAAAGAACATTTTTACTTACAAAGTGAAGCACTCTGACTGATTCCCATGCATTCACAATCCTTCAGAATGACAGCTAAAATGTTTAATTGTGACTAGTATGTTTGCTACTGCCATCTTTACAAGCCGCACAACTACTCCAAACACAACTTCTTACACTGGATAAAAGAAAGAATGTACAATTCTCTCTTGATAGCACATATTAACGTTGATCTGAAAATTCTACATTAAATGTAAGATTTCCACAGAAGCTGCCTGATAAGGCTCTTGAAGTTTTTAAGAAAATCAGCAACCAGGGTCATGTTTGCTATGAAGGTATCAAAGATGTCATACTATGGAGAGGGTGGCATGAAAACTTTATCCCTAGATAATATCTTTTCAAGGGTGGGGGTTTAAAAGTTGTGCCTGTGGACCATTTCCGCTATGAAGGGGGTGGTTCTGTGCTGAAGAATGGTGTGGCATCCTTCACCAGTATGGTGTGACACACATCACATACTTTGGACTGTCTAAGGTTTGGTCCACTGACCACAGTCTTTGCTGTGCAATCTGAACAGAATATCCTACCACAGTGCCGACAATGATGCTAGAAAATAAATACACCATTTTCTAGATGATTACTGCAAATAAGAGTATTTATAAAGATATTATCTTAATTTAATGTGCATGCACAATGTTTTGACTTTTTGAGCTGTTTGTAAATGTTAAAAAATTACTTTCACTAAATGTTAAGTCTAGGTAAAGAGGACAAAAAAAAAAAAACTGCAACCATTATGTATGAACTGACCTAACAGCTAAACTAGAAATAAAACCAGTAGTACCTTGCGCTTTGTTACAGAAAATGGCTGGCTGCATCCAGTGCATTCATCTGTGTCCTCCTCATGTTGCCACCGCACTTCATTTTCACTCTGTCGGATTTTCTCTAACTGAATCTACCATAAATGAATGAAACTGATGGTGTGTGGGAAAAATTGTCCACAGAGAAAAAAGTTGGCATTTTCTACTGTCCAATAAATCAAACAAATCAAACAACCAAATCAAATCAACACAAACACCAAAAGGGTATTATTATTGCAAACTAATACCAAAATAATTTAAAATTGATTCCTTTGAGCATTTAATTTTAATTTATTACAACACAGCTAATGATCAATTAAAATATCTTTGAAAAATTGTAAAATGTGTAAAAGAGCTAACATACCTGTAGTGATTGTGAAAGTTTGACAAAATCCCTCTGTACTGCTTCACTGTTATCAAGGTCAACTTGAAGGGATGAGACTTTTGATCTTGCTTTCATTAAGTCTTCTTCTAATTTAGTCTAAAAGTGATTTTTTTTACAGTGAAACCAATATCATGAGTAGACAAATTAATATCAACACATTTTTCTTAGTGATTCCATTTTTCTGGTGTTAATTAAACAAAATAAATTCATTATCCAACCACATATTCTAAGTTGTCAATGGCATACATTTTTTTTTACTGATGATCCTTTGCCTTCCGGTTCTATTGTTAATAACATGATGAACAAGGTAGTTAGTAAGCTAAAATATTGAAAACCCTATTGGTTAAAAAAAGAAAATTTCTAAAGAGATTAAACTACTTCTTCATCTATGAAGTAATAGGCTATGAACCTCCTCTTCAAATCCTTCATCACATGACTGAATTGCCATTGTGATTCTTTTCACCTCACACGATAAAGAGACAATAAAAATCCCATTTTATCAAACCTTTATCATCACATCTACTCACCATTTTGGTATTCTGTTCTGCTAGCTGGCTTTGAAGGCCACTAATCAACTGTGAAGACTTTGCCTGGCTTGATTTGAGCTGAGACTCGACTTCTTTTAACTTGGCCTCTAAGTCTAACCTCACTTTTGACTCCCGCTCCAGTTCTGATTTGACACTTTGTAATAGTGCTAAAATTAAAAGAGATTGAAAAGTGACTCATTTGATATACATACCTAAATATGACTAGTATAATCTGCCATCCTGCAACCAAGCTCTCTAAAATGCAGATAACTCAAAGAAGAAACTTTTTTTAATATTAATGTTGTAAAAAAACCTCATTGAAAAGTACAATAGGCCAAACAGACAGACAATCTGATTCCAGAAACTCTGTTGCAATAGGGGTTAAATAAATAATATCAAATGTTTACCAAGCTGTTCTTGCAGAGAGTTGACTTCTCTAGACATCTCCTCCTCCACATTGGCCCTCTCCTGCTGCTCAGCCAGTATCTGGTCCTTCAGGAACATGATCTCACTCTTCAGGTTGTGTTCCACATGCTCCTTGGCCACCTTGGCTGCAATGATCTCTTCCTTATATTTCAGTAGAAGAAGCTGCATCTCCTGGGAGAATGAGGGAGGAAAAGGGAAAATAACAATAAATAATAAATTGATATATAATATGGTGACAGACTTGCTGAGAGCTACCAAAGATGAGGTAGGGATAGGCAGCCAACATCAGCCTTATGAAGCAGGGCACATGATAATGATTTAAATCAATGTTGTTTAGACATTTCTTGTGTAGTATACATTTTGGCAAAACTACAAATATACATGGCCTTTTTGGGCAATGATTTCTTAGTCAGTACCATAGAAATATTACACAAGCTACTGAGTCAAATCAGCTATGTCCCATATGCAATGCCACAGTTGTGCTAAGTCAAATTCTATTGAGTTTAAGGGGATAAATAGCAAGTTTGTTGCATTTCTTTGTCAATCCAACAATCATTTTTTTTTTAATTCAAACAAATCTGGGTGAAATAAGATGTAAATTTTCATCCCTGGGCAAAAAATATCAAGTGTTTCTGCATACCATAGTGTAATTGGTAAGTAAAATTACTATGATCTATAATCTTCAGTTCTTGTGTCCAGCAGTAATAATCAAGTTATGTTTAAACAGAAATTTATATTGCTCTGGTTCCCATTGGTTTATGTGTGCAATAAATCCTTGCTTAACTTTGGTCAAAATAAAAACCCACATGTTTAAGAGACTCTGCTGGTTCAAGTGAGGTGAATTATTATGCACAACATGCTTCACTTTTGAAGAACAAACAATATGTACATATTAGAACACTACCTGTGAACAGACTGTGTAAATACAATGCTATAATACTATTGAACCACATCCACATCATTGAAGGAGGTTGAAAATACTACAAATGCTATGTAAATTATCAAGCAAGAGGGAAATCTTAAATAACTTTTTTCCACAAACCAATGAAAATAGCAAGTTCCTCCTTTATTGTGCTGGCAGCTGCAGCCCTACACCAGCATAACCTAAATTTGCAAATGATTAAACAATCACATGATTATCATCAGAAATATTTAAAGAGCCTTTCAATTCAATAGCTATATAAAGGTCACATTTGCTTGTTTTTTTTCACATCACTCTCTGTAATACTTGTTATTGAGCTGAAAGGCAAGCATCAATAGTACCCATGCGCAGAACGTGAGGTCAATAAAGACTGAATAGGTAAACACAGCCTTCACAATTCCCGCCAGGCACACAGGGTTTGGGTATTAGGAGCCAGCAAAGAGCTACGGACTTCAGGGACATAGGTATGGCAAGTAAGTCGTGTCATGCTCTGATAGCTGCACACATTTATATTTGAATGTAAGATTGATCTAGATTTGTAACAGCATATCGTTTTGCATGATCATTTTAATGAGAAATACAGATGTGAAGTGCCACGGTGTTAACAATCTTTTAAGTATGTCAACACCTTAATCCATATAACTGGACACCCTTGATAACCTTTAAGTAAGATACACCTGTGAGGCTGTGAAATTATATTATTTACAGCTCAGTGCATGTGAAGTAGGTGCTTATAATGTCTGATATTACCAAGCAGGTTTTGATTAAGGCATTTATCTGGTGTTTTTCTACGACTGTTAGGTATGGTTTGATCATCATAAGAAAAGCAATCCCTGACTTTCAATATCTGTGCAGCTTCTACTTAATACTGAAATTAAATACAGGATCCTTATGCAGGTAAAATAACAAAGTAACATTTAATATTTCTTTTCATCTGCATCTTATTGTATGTGAAATTAATGTGAAGCTTTATCCTATCAGTCATGATATATAAATTCTGATTTTGTGCCAAGGACACGCTCATGCTAAATACATTTATATACACACAAGGGGACCTGCAGACAGCCTTGGTAATTTGCATAGCACATTCAGGTACACATCCATAAATTTCAAATGTTAACTGTGAATATACCTTTTTTTTTTATTATTATTAAACGAGCACATGCACTATGAAAATATTAGTCATATGTGTTGTGATACAAACAGCTGGCAGTCACATTTTATTATTTATTTAGTATACATTTTAATCAGTAGCACATGTACATATGAGAGAGAGAGAGTTTATATTAACAGGTTATCAAATATGTCATTTTAGGAGCTTAATCCTTCAGCTTTTTATTAGTACGTACCAAAGTACATAATATTCCAGTATAACTATAAACAGGAGACAGATTTATCAGTTGCTAGGCCCAACTGATAGTTTATTTAAAAATTATGTGTATCCTGTTACACACAGGTACAGGATACCAAGTAATTGCCAAGCATGATTATTTAGTGCCATTCAACAGGGACACAAAAGGAATTATTCAATATTACACTTAGTCTCACACCTTAGTGTAAAATCAAGTGAGATTTTGAAGATTTTGAAGGAGAGGAGGATCAGAAGCATTAAGTGAGTGTGGTGCAGTTACAAATAAAAGCTGTCATTACTATATATATATATATATTTATTGTTTTCTCAAGTTTTGCTGAATTACAATCTGTAGTGCACCAGTATAAATTCATCATCTTTTGGTTGTCACATTTAGGACTCATAGATTTTCACACTTACTACTAAAAGTTGGCTCAACTTCATGCAGAATTTCATATTCTCACATGTTTTCCATGTCTTGTATGATGTTACACAGTGCTGTAGGCCTAATTTTGTGCTATCTCAGATAATTCCCCTTCAATATTATCACCTCACTTCTTGGAATTATGAGATAAGTGTTTCCTGGTACCAGTGAATATTAATATTAGAACAAGTGGAACAGAATCAGGGATGTACCATGCAGAACGTGTTATCACTAAAAACAGGCATTTAAACTTATTTGACCTCAAGCACTGCTCACACTTCTATGATAACTAGGTTAACTTGTGGCTGTGTCCGCTGAATTAGGCAGGAGCCTTCCAACATTCAGCTTGTCCTGTATTAGCACCATATTCAAGTGTTTTTACCTGTCTGGGTTTTAGATTAGTGCCTGGGACTGACAGATAAGATTTGGTGAAAGTGACACTTTGAAAAAACCAACTGTAAACAAAGGTGTGAGGGTAGAAATCACTGCTAGACCTGAGACCACCATTACAGACACGGCAGAGCAGACATGTTGTCATAAAGAAGGAAGACCAGGATTATTATATTCCAAAACACATAGCTTTTTATTTTAAAAATACAAACTTAGGTAGGTGGCATAAATGCCTTAAATATGTTATGTCATTTCACCCCAAGTAGATTGTATCAGAAGTTTAACTTGCAGCCACTCAGCTGCAATTCAATTTTAATTGTCTTTTTCAATATATGTAAACCACGTATGTAGAAGAGAAACACTTTAATTCAATTCTCCATGAGATCCAGTTATCTCAGTTGTATTTATTTGCAACCAAGTGTTCTCAAATGCACATTAGGTCAGGAATAATACAAGGGAGGACAAATCCTATATATCCTATACTATAAGCAGTATGAATAAATGCTGGTCATATTCACATGATGATCTTTTAACCATGAAAAGTCTTACTGACATAACCAGACCAACATATTGCATGTAAAGCCTTTGGTGCCTTACATGTTCTATATTTCATGTGTAGCAATTAAGTTGTCTGGTTACAGCAGTCAATCTGTTGGAAGGTTATAGTTAGCCCAATAGTGAATAAGGACAAGGACCAATATCTTGCTTTCACATTTATATTCACTAATACCTACTGATTTGGCTTCCTTTACTTTATCAGTGAGGAAACTGTTGTTATTCTGCCACAGATAGTATAAAACATTTAAATTCCTTCATAAAAAGGGACACTTCAGGAACTATGGGATACCCCCCCCCCCCCCCTCAGGTTTTGGGTTAATTGCAATTGTAAGGATGAATTTGCTATGTAGGGACATCAAGTTTGTGTATTTTATTGTGTTCCACAGACTAGTTGGTTTGTGTAAAAGGCTAAATGGGCATGTGGTAATTGGGAATTTAGTCCTTATATAGTATCTATTTAGTAGAGTTAGGAAGGTGCAAGAGATTTAATAAACACTATCCAAAATTATTACAAATTTTGTTTCATATACTGCAATCAGGTTGGAGAAGCATACCATAAATAACCACAGCCATTTGCAGCAGCAATCAGTCTTGATTAAATTGATAAAACAGGCAGTGCACTCTCTAGAAACAAAACTATGACATTAGAACAAAATGATAAGCATTTTCATATCTGGGTATGATGGTCATGCATTAGCATAGCTTGCCACGAAGCCATAATTTTAAGGAATACTGGTGCATACTTCAGTTACAAGATGTGAAGGTTTGGAGCAACTCTTACTTTTAATCTTTCAAACAATTTAAGAAAATGATCTTGATCCTTGGTTCTACAATTTCAAACAGCAGTGTATACACATTTTGACATTGAAAATGAGAAGAAAACATTTATCAACAGCAAACAGCATCAACTAAATAAATATGTACCATTTCATAATTAATTAAAAACCATCACATTTTGCGGTGTTGTTTATGCAGTGAAGTCATCAATATTAGCTCCACTGTAGGTCTCAAAATATGTACAATGGCATGATTAAAACAACACTGCAATCCCTTTGAAATCAATTTTACCTAATAAAAAGAGCACAGACCACAGCTAAAAGTTGGGAGAAAAAAATGCATGAAAATAATTGGGATAAGTGTGTAAAACCAATAATCTATGTAGTTGTTATTCCAAACAAGGCGCTCCTGTTAAAGATTAAGGAAAATGGATAAATTTGCTTTGCTACAGTTAGCTGCATGTGATAAATCATTCCCTGACAAGAAATAAAGTTTCCATTAATTGTTCTTGATTAAAAACATAAAATCAAGCACTAACCAACATCAAATTTCTGCTGATATCAGTGCATTATATTATTCAAATTTCAAGATTTTATATACATTTGACAAATCAATACTGAACTATGCTTTATTTTTATTTTTCAGGACTATAAAGATGTTGGTGAAGGAAGGGACTATAAATTCTGGCCAAGAATCCAGCGTGGCAGACCAATCACCAATGGTCAATGTTTTACAAGACACTGAATATCAGAACAATGCCCTCAATAACAACACTAACACTACAGGCAACCTGGTACAAAATTTCAGATTTTTCAGACAAAGATCCAACTCTGAACTTCCTATGCGAAACCGGGTAAAGACATCACTGCCACCTGGATCTGATACAGAAACCGATTTCCAATATAACAATGGTGAAAGAAGAAAGCGCTGTCATTCTCTTTCCCTCACAGATCTGTCTAAAAATTCGAGGCCAACAGCAACAGCACCTACCTCACAAGCAACCACACTGCGTGGCACAGCATTCCAAAAATATCAGACAGAAGAACAGTCAAAAGCTCAATACTGGGTTGAAAATGAGAGGGAAAATGATAAAAACAATGCACTGTGGGTAGAAAATGAGTGTCCATTCCATGGGAGTCCGCCAGATTTTGTGAAGCTCTCCAGCGTGGATGACATTAGCCCTTCAGAGTTGTTCACAGACAGAGAGGCAACAGATCTAGTCACAGAAGAACAAGATATAGATTTTGATGAAGAATCAGGAAAACAAGTTTCCCCTTTTAACCAGACCTGGCAGCTTGATCTAGCTGAGGGAGGCTTCAATAATGTGGTACGAGGTCCAGACTTCAACCAAGATGTCACAATCAGTGATGAGATGGAATTTTATGAAACTAGAAGACGGAGGTTTTCTACTCGCTCATCAAGCAATGGCTCTATGAATTACCCAAATAAGCTCAGATCATCTAGTCTGGATGCTGGGAGTGAAGATGAAAGCAATATCTTTAGTGAAAAACAGGAGGACATGACACCCTTATCTTTATCCTTTGCAGCAAGGAAGAGTGCCATCTTGATCAGTGGACGCAGAAGGTATAGATCATGCACTGAGGACATTACAGAGGAAGAAAACACTCCAATTCTGCCCCCAAAAAGAACATTCACAAATAAGCTACCCTGACATAATATTGCCTGACAAACCCACAACACCCCGAGATGACCAGCCAGTTAGTCGACAACGGTGTTACACAACAAATTCTCCAAGACTGACAAAGTATCACACTCACAGAAGAAAAGATAGTGACAGCAATCTTGTGATCCCAGATGATGCAAAATGGGGAAGTACTGCCCTAAAGAAATTTATGAAGACCAACATTTATACACAAACAGAGCTAGATTTGAGTGATCAAAAACTTATTGATCTTCCATCAACTGTCCCATCCTTGACCAATGTCCAGTCTCTCCAGCTGAGGGGAAATTATATCAGGAGTCTGCCCACCAGTGTGGCAGATATGACCCTGCTGACCAACCTGGACCTCAGTCACAACCACCTGTTACATGTGCCTTGCAATGTGAAAAAATGCACCAATTTGAAACGCCTCTGCTTGGACAGAAACTATCTACACTCACTTCCAGACTTCCTGGCTGACCTCAGAGACTTGAGTCACATCAGCTTAAAGGAGAACCACTTCAGTGTCTGGCCTAATGTTCTGGATAAAACCACCCAGTTGCAGTACCTAAACATGAGCAAAAATCCAAAGCTGGCAGTAATTCCTGAAGGTCGCATGTCTCACATGAACAAACTGCATTATCTCCTTCTAAATGGCTGTGGTTTAAGTGCAATCCCCTCCGATATATCAGCATGTGACCAGCTTCACACCATTGACGTATCCAATAACATCCTCACATCTCTCCCCAGCACCATGTCTGCAATGTTTAACCTTCAAAGTATGAATATCAGCAACAACAAGTTCAAAGAATTCCCCGCAGTGATATGTAACATACCCAAGCTCCACCTCCTAGACATCTCCTCAAATCTTTTGGAAGAGATACCTAAAGAGGTATCCAACTTACAGAACCTACAGTACATGAATATCCAGAAGAACAAGCTGAAGTACATGTTGCCAGATATCCTATGCCTGCTGCTACTGAAGAGGCCCAAGCTGGGCATGGTGTCACGCAGAGAGTCACAGCAGAATAGCTTTCATATGGCTGACAAAGTCTCCAAGCCAAGAACCCTGCAGGACAGTAACCCGTACATATAAATTATACAGGGGTAGCAGCTCTGTTTATTTCGGTCTTTTGTATAAATCATAATATTTGAAACCGAAAATCAAAGGATCTAAAAATCCTTATATTGTGTATATAAATAACTAAATCTTCATTAATCTCCATGACATTCTCTTGCATCTGCCTGAAGCACATTACAAATGCAAATAATGATATGTTAATGAAAAATAATAAGTTTGAAAAAGACATATTCACTATCCTTAAGAATATTTTTGCTGAAATTGAGATGGGTGATATGTTTGAAAGCATCAACACTTGTGTATTATACACACAAGTATTGAATTATTGTTTTGTTTCTTTTTGCTTGGGGGAAGGAACTCATATATGGATTGTTAACATTTAAAAAAAAGATTTAAAATTATGTTAAATCTAAACAAATCACAGAGTGTTTGTGGTCAAAGTGTAAAATATTCTTTATTGTATTGTTTTCAGTACTTGTCCTAATACTGACACTCTGTTGACCAAATGCAAATGGAACATTATTGACAAGGCAGCTAGATTACGTGGTGCTGACCAAGAGTTTCTTTTGTGTACATTAATCAATTTCATATGCAGGTTTGTCATCTTTACTGCACTCTTTTTGCTCGTAAAATTCTGATCAAAGAGAATATTACTTCAAGTAATATTTTTCTGGAAGACATGCCTTCACTTTCATTGCATCAAAATACCTGTGTATGCTTGTGATATCATAATTAAGAGTGACAATAAGGCTAAATTTGAGGTGTTGGGAGCTACAGATAATTTTTTGTTCTGGCTAAAATTATGTCCAATAAAAGCCATTTACTGAAAATGATTTGTTTGTTTCTTCATTAAAATGTATAGTATATATTTAGTGACTAAGAGCCAACTTGAAAGATTATAATCAAGTCCAATCTAAAACATACAAATTCCTTTTCACACATTTCTGATCCCATCAAAAAATATGTGCATACGTACTACATTCGCCATATCTTACCTCCACATTATTTGGAAGGTTAATCTCCTCATTCTGTAGCTGTTGTGCTGTCTTGGAATGCCTGCCCAGCAATGCATCATTTTCTTCTTGGAGTTGTGTCAGCTAAAGACAATGACGGGAAGATTACCCATAGAAATCTCTTCTCATCAATCAGCACAAAAGAACAACTAGATAAATATATAACACCAGGGACAACTTATCACAAAATATATATTTCAAGTTAACTTAAGTATTTCTGATTGTTTTTATAGAATGTTTTGTTGAATGATTAAATTCTACATCCCCTTTTTGTGTTGCTTCAAGCAAGTTTTCTGCAAAACCCCTTACCTCTTTTTGTATCTCTTCTCTTGTTTCTGTTAATGTTTTCTGAAAAGGCAAATGAAATAATTGAAACTAATAGATGTATCAATACTTAGTCTCAACACATTGTTCTCTAAATATTCTGTGAATACCAAATGAAGAAAAGTTTGCATGGTAAAATCCTCACCAACTGTTCCTGGAGATCAGTAAATGCTTGGGAATACTGTTGCCTGAGTTGAGACATAAACCTCTCAGACTCCTGGACTTTTGTATTTAAAGTGGCTATCTGAAATCAAAAAGATCCATCTGTAAAATAAAACTGCCACTCAAAAAAAAA